CATTTGACCTACTACTTATAGGCTTGTGTTGATTTTTAGTAGCAGTGGCTAACGTAATGCATAGAGACCATGTTGATGTTAGTTATGTAGTTAAATGTGCATTTCAATGCCAGGTGGCAAAGTCCTAGATGGAGTACCTGGGGCATCATTTATAAAATGCTATTTTTTATATCAAATTTCTGCATACAATTTTGCTTTATATAATGTCTTCACCCATGAATAAAGTTGTGTTAGTCACAAATAGGGTTGCAAAGGGAGGCTATATTAATGGAAATTTAGATTTTTGGCCTTCTAGTGGCCTTTGTGGATACTTCAGATTATCACAGGTTAAGAGATTAAGATAACTTTATTGGTCAATTGCACACAAGGTTCAACCAAAATTTCACTTCCGCTTTTAACCCAACCCCTCCGAAAGACACACATACATATACAGGTTTTGGAGAGGTGCAGGGGGCTGCCACAGGGGGCTGCCACACTGGGCTCTCGGAGAGCTGTTGTTGTGGGGGGTTAACTGCCTTGCTCAAGGCCACACAGCAGGCAATGGCATCTAAGATTTGATACCAGCAACCCTCCGGTTACCAGCTCACTTCCCACCAGATTTTCCCCATTGGACCCAAAATTCAAACTGGCAAACCTCCTGTCGCTGGCTCGCCTACCTAACCTCCTGTCGCTGGCTCGCCTACCTAACCGCTAGGCTACCTGCCGCCCCAGGTGTCTGTAATTATCTCTGGCCCTCTGTGTGGCCTTATCGCATGTAAAATATTTTATATAAAATAATCACATAAGATGATTTTAAAATATAAAATGTATTGACAAAGCTGTAAAACATCATCCTAAATATAAACCATCAACTTAGTGAATACCATTGGTGTTTAATATGAGGGTTTCAGCATGAAATATACTTTTGTTTATTTTAATATGTCAATATGTCTTTGTTGTAAATGTTTTGGTGCCAAACTGGTGGCAGTGTGAAAAAAGTAAATAGTTGTAAGAGTTGGAAAGTTAATTTAAAGTAATTGTTGATTAGATCCTTTTTTCATTAATTAGACTATTTTCTCTAGAACCATATGATTAATGAAAAATAAAACACTCATATATCTTGATTAGATAACTTTATATAGTCTCCTGAGTGGCGCAGTGGTCTAAGGCACTGCATCGCAGTGCTAACTATGCCACTAGAGATCCTGGTTCGAATCCAGGCTCTGTCGGAGCCGGCCGCGACCGGGAGACTCATGGGCGGCGCACAATTGGCCCAGGGTAGGGGAGGGAATGGCCGGCAGGGATGTAGCTCAGTTGATAGAGCATGGTGTTTGCAACGCCAGGGTTGTGGGTTCGAGTCCCACGGGGGGCCAGTATAAAAAAAAAAATGTATTCACTAACTGTAAGTCGCTCTGGATAAGAGCGTCTGCTAAATGACTAAAATGTAAATGTAATTAGATATGTATTCAACCCCCTGAGTCAATGCATGTTATATAATCACCTTCGGCAGCGATTACAGCTGTGAGTCCTTTTGGGTAAGTGTCTAAGAGCTTTGAACACCTGAATTGGACAATATTTGCTCATTATTATTTAAAAACTCTTCAAACTCTGTCAAGTTGGTTGTTGATCATTGCTAACTAGGCCACTCAGGAACATTCAATGTCATCTTGGTAAGCAACTCCAGTGGCCTTGAGTTTTAGGTTATTGTCCTGCTGAAAGGTGAATTTGTCTCCCAGTGTCTGTTGGAAAGCAGACTGAGCCAGGTTTTCCTCTAGCTTTTTGCCTGTGCTTAGCTCTATTCCGTTTCTTCTTATAAATCAAAAAATCCCTAGTCCTTGCCGATGACGAGCATATCCATAACATGATGCAGCCACCACCATGCTTGAAAATATGAAGGGTGGTACTCAGTGATGTGTTGGATTTGTCCTAAACAAATTCAAGACAAAACTTACATTTTTTTGCCAATGTTTGTTGCAGTATTACTTTAGTGCCTTATTGCAATCAGGATGATGCATGTTTTGGAAGATTTTTATTCCGTACAGACTTCCTTCTTTTCATTCTGTCAATTAGGTTAGTATTGTGGAGTAACTACAATGTTATTGATCCATCCTCAGTTTTCTCCTATCACAGCCATTAACCTCTGTAACTGTTTTAAAATCACCATTGGCCTCATGGTGAAATCCCTGAGCAGTTTCCTTCCTCTCTGGCAACTGAGTTAGGAGGATATATATATATATATATATCTTTGTAGTGACTGGCTGTATTGATACACCATCCAAAACATATTTAATAACTTGCTCAAAGGAATATTCAGTGTCTGCTTTTTTTTATTTTCATCCATCTACCAATAGATGCCTTTCTTTGCAAGGCATTTGAAAACCTCCCTGGTCTTTGTGGTTGAATCTGTGCTTGAAATTCACTACTCGACTGAGGGACATTACAGATAATTGTACGTGTGGGATACAGAGATGGGTTAATCATTCAAAAATGATGTTAAACACTATTATTGCACAAAGAGTGAGTCCATGCAACTTATTATGTGACTTGTTATGCAGAATTGTACTTTTAGACATATTTAGGCTTGCCATAACAAAGGGGTTGAATACTTATTCACTCAAGACATTTTAGCTTTACATTTTTTATTAATTTGTAAAAATGTCTAAAAACAAAGTTCAACTTTGACATTGTGGGGTATTGTGTGTAGATCAGTGGCACAACATCTAAAGTTAATCCATTTTAAATTCAGGCTGTAACACAACAAAATGTGGAAAAAGTCAAGGGGTATGAATACTTTATGAAGGCACTGTATATGAATACATGTTCTAAAAGTTATTCAAGTGTAAATTACCAAAGTTACCATAGATTGCCATAAATTACCTATAAATTACAGAATATTCCAGCAACTTTGGTAAATTATTGGTAGCTTTGCAACCCTAGCTACAAATAAGCATGTTTTATTTATAAATTAAAACATTTCATGTGAAATCTTTGTAAAATGCATATTTCCATGTCAAGTTGAAGATTTATGAATCACATTGTTGCTGTGGAGTTCGTCATACACACAATTTACGATCAAATCTGTGCTCATGATGGTTTTCTACATGAGGCCCACCTGGTCTGTATAGGTTTTTATGAAGCAAGGATGGGGCTTAGTCAGAGGTGGCTTAGGGACTGGAGGGTTATTTTTGAAAGTATCAGTGACATGCATTGCCATTTGAAGTGCAGCATGACCTTCAGATGTAAAACCAACACCTACAGAGTTCAATGCACTTTGATTACACACAGGGAGGTAAACGTAGGTATGATGTTTATTTATTTAAAAGGACAGTTTCACAATAGGTCGTTCTTGAAACTTTGACACATTTGACACATTTCTGAAAAAGGCAGACCACACAACAGCAAGTACTGGGAAAATATATCTGTACTATGTGAGATAGGCCTATATATAAAAAATATATAAAATTTTACAATCATGGATGAAAGTAAGGCCTGATCACCGGCGACGATGAGAGCCTACAGGGAGGAGGTCAGTAACCTGGCAGTGTGGTGCTGGAGCAACAACCTCTCCCTCAACGTCAGCAGGACCAAGGAGCTAATCGTAGCGAGGACGCCCCCATCCACATCGACGGGGCAGCAGTGGAGCAGATAGACAGCTTCAAGTTCCTCGGTGTCCAAATCACTAAAGACTTAAAAGGGTCCAAACACACACACAGTCTTGGAGAAGGCGCAACAGTGCCTCTTCCCCATCAGGAGGTTGAAAAAGTTTGGCATGGACTCTCAAATCCTGAAAAGGTTCTACAGCTGTACCATTGAGAGCATATTGACTGGCTGCATCACTGTTTGGTATGGCAATAGCGCCACCCTCGATCGCATGGTCGCTACAGAGGGTTGTGGGGACAGCCCAGTACATCACTGGGGCCGAGCTCCCTGCCATCCAGGACCTCTATATCAGGCGGTGTGAAAAGAAGGCCCAGAAAATCGTCAAAGACCCCAACCACCCAAGCCATATACTATTTTCTCCAGTGTATCAAGTCTGACACCAACAGGCTCTTGAACAGCTTCTACCCCCAAGCAATACGACTGATAAATAGCTAACAAAATAGCTACATGGACCGAGTTTACCTTGTATCTTTATTTACCTTTTATCACAGGGCCCTACACACTCACACACACTGTCACTCCAACACACACACACACAAACACTCACTCCATCATTTGTTCACTCACACATAATATGCACATACATTTATACTGACTCTACACACCCGCACACCCACAAGCTGCTGCTACTCTGTTTATCTTATATCCTGTTGTCTAATCACCTTACACCTATACATATCTACCTTCATCACTCCACTATCCCTGCATGTTAATATGGTATTGGAACTGACTTTTTAAATATTTCCTGTATATAGTATGCTTACTTACTTACTTGATTGTGTATTTCTTATTATTATTTCTCGTGTGCTTTTGTCTAGTAATACATTGTTATTGATTATTGCATTGTTGGGTTTTGAGTTTGCAAGAAAGGCATTTCACTGTATTGTGGATGTGACATTAAAAACTAGAAACTTGAAACTAAGGCAGTACGGTCCAGTACGGGGTCCAGGCAAAATAAATAGTGGTGGTACACCGTACCGGTAAAACGCGAGCCTATCACAATAGGCTATTACACCCCTACTTAACATTTCTGCGTGTCAGCCGCATGACAAATTTGCGAATTGACTGGAAACCGGGTGGTATACGCTCCAAATCGCATTGTAATTTCATCCTCCAGGTTAGATGGACGTCATATTGTATTTGTGTCTCCCCTTTTCATAGGCCGATTATATAGATCAGGCAACATTGTTTTTATTGATCCGTTTGTCAGTAGAGTAGGCTACCCTGTAATTATTGTAGTATTTTAAAAGAAATGGGTGCGCACACTTGGGTGTCCCATACCAGTAAGAAATTAAATCTATTTTTACACGTTTACAATATGTGATGATATATTAGTCCTATAAAGTCATATGAGGAAACCATTTGTTGACTTTAGTTCTTAAATGGAGCAACCTGTCTGTGTTCAGGATAGCAAGCATTTGAATAGCAAAAGGTTTGCTAGGTTTGCTCTTAATAGATTTGAGGAGGTCTAGGACAGTTGCATCTTTGGTTGTGGTTTTCCCCGCACTCCTCCTGAGCACAGCCACCAGTCTTTTTTCCTTTCTTGGTGAGAGGATCTGCAGTGCCAGGAATTCCATCAACTCCCCATCACAGATAGCTTCATCTGAGTGGTTGAAAGAGTGAGAAAGAGAAAAGGAGAGAAACCAAGACCATATTAATTGACTGCATTACAATAAATGAGACCACCTTTTGCAATGCACAGTAAGGCTTTTCATTTTCAGTTTTGGTAGGTTAGAAGATATTACACAATTATCATTAATAAATGTTTTTCCATATGTGCCTACAAAAGACTAAACAGCATGGACAAAATATTCTCACCTTCATGTGTTCTTGAACCATTCGTACATTTTGCGCAGTAAACATCATTCATGTCATTGCCGGGTATAGTGGTATAACCTGGGGCACACACAGAAAATTTCTGACAGGTTTTCCTACTGGAGGACTCTGCAGAGAAGAAGCCCCCTGGGCAAGGTTCACACTTCACATCAGTGTGTGCTGTTCCTGGAAAATAAGGATATTGTTCGTACATGTTGTATTTAATCTGTAAACAGATTGCAGTGGTTTGCAGAGCCAACTGGAAACATGGCAGTGGAAAAGGCGTATTCATTATGAAGGGTAGCCAAACATTATATTATCACTTAGCCTACCACTGGAGATGACCCCTTCACCGGGCGGACACCTTCTGTGCCTTGAACATGACCCATGTCTCATGTAAAACCCGTCCTTGCACTCGCACTGTCGGTTGTGCAGTTGGGTGCACGGTACGCTTTCAATCTCATTAGCCGTGCAAAAACGATTGCAGTATTGACACCGTTCGATGTAGTTCCAGATCTCTGTGTAGTGGGACTTTGGACACGGTCCGCAGTCGCTCTTGCGGTCCTTTGTGCAATGCTTCAGTAAGTATGTTCCAGGAGCGCATTTGTCGCATGTAAGGGAATCCCCTGTCGCGTCATCTCTCCAGATGTATGTCGGTGTGTGTGGACCTGGCTCTGTCACGCTGCCGCCACAGAGCGCAAATACCACGAGGCAGAAAACAATTTGTCAGCTATTGGAAGAAAGAGTCATGTTATAATTTAGAATCAATCATAACTTTTGTGTAGTCTACGTCTCTCAATATGACTGTCCAACTCCATCAAATAACTACTTCATGAGGCATTCAGCTTCAATAGTTAAATAATAGCCTAGCCTACGCTATAGCCTAATATCCATTTATTTCCTATAGGCACCGAAGAGCCCGCTATATTTCAGCAGAGAAATAATACTCACCGGATGCATTTTCCCTCTAGTCAGCTAGCAACTGATGTTAACATGTTCAACGTCGTTAGAATTTATAGAGCCTACTTCTGATGACTAATACTCGGGGAAGCCCTTTCCAATGCCTTGGTCCATCCATCAGTCTTGGCTTTGGTATTTAATGGTGGTGCAGCCTGGTCTCATAAAGTAGACATAACATAGTAAACATACAGTGGGGGAAAAAAAGTATTTAGACAGACACCAATTGTGCAAGTTCTCCCACTTAAAAAGATGAGAGAGGCCTGTAATTTCCATCATAGGTACACGTCAACTATGACAGACAAATTGAGAAAAAAATATCCAGAAAATCACATTGTAGGATTTTTAATGAATTTATTTGCAAATTATGGTGGAAAATAAGTATTTGGTCAATAACAAAAGTTTCTCAATACTTTGTTACATACCCTTTGTTGGCAATGACACAGGTCAAACGTTTTCTGTAAGTCTTCACAAGGTTTTCACACACTGTTGCTGGTATTTTGGCCCATTCCTCCATGCAGATCTCCTCTAGAGCAGTGATGTTTTGGGGCTGTCGCTGGGCAACACGGACTTTCAACTCCCTCCAAAGATTTTCTATGGGGTTGAGATCTGGAGACTGGCTAGGCCAGTCCAGGACCTTGAAATGCTTCTTACGAAGCCACTCCTTCGTTGCCCGGGCGGTGTGTTTGGGATCATTGTCATGCTGAAAGACCCAGCCACGTTTCATCTTCAATGCCCTTGCTGATGGAAGGAGGTTTTCACTCAAAATCTCACGATACCTGGCCCCATTCATTCTTTCCTTTACACGGATCAGTCGTCCTGGTCCCTTTGCAGAAAAACAGCCCCAAAGCATGATGTTTCCACCCCCATGCTTCACAGTAGGTATGGTGTTCTTTGGATGCAACTCAGCATTCTTTGTCCTCCAAACACGACGAGTTGAGTTTTTACCAAAAAGTTATATTTTGGTTTCATCTGACCATATGACATTCTCCCAATCCTCTTCTGGATCATCCAAATGCACTCTAGCAATATTCAGACGGGCCTGGACATGTACTGGCTTAAGCAGGGGGACACGTCTGGCACTGCAGGATTTGAGTCCCTGGCGGCGTAGTGTGTTACTGATGGTAGGCTTTGTTACTTTGGTCCCAGCTCTCTGCAGGTCATTCACTAGGTCCCCCCGTGTGGTTCTGGGATTTTTGCTCACCGTTCTTGTGATCATTTTGACCCCACGGGGTGAGATCTTGCGTGGAGCCCCAGATCGAGGGAGATTATCAGTGGTCTTGTATGGCTTCCATTTCCTAATAATTGCTCCCACAGTTGATTTCTTCAAACCAAGCTGCTTACCTATTGCAGATTCAGTCTTCCCAGCCTGGTGCAGGTTTACACTTTTGTTTCTGGTGTCCTTTGACAGCTCTTTGGTCTTGGCCATAGTGGAGTTTGGAGTGTGACTGTTTGAGGTTGTGGACAGGTGTCTTTTATACTGATAACAAGGTAACGAGTGGAGGACAGAGGAGCCTCTTAAAGAAGTTACAGGTCTGTGAGAGCCAGAAATCTTGCTTGTTTGTAGGTGACCAAATACTTATTTTCCACCATAATTTGCTAATAAATTCATAAAAAATCCTACAATGTGATTTTCTGGATTTTTTCCCCTCAATTTGTCTGTCATAGTTGACGTGTACCTATGATGAAAATTACAGGCCTCATCTTTTTAAGTGGGAGAACTTGCACAATTGGTGGCTGACTAAATACTTTTTTTCCCCACTGTACATCCGGGACACTCAAATTAGTATATGTTACGTTTGGTATGGTTAAATAAGACAGGTTACTGAAGGCAAAAACAAAATAAGGGTTGTTGGTCAGGTCTATAAAGCAAATGTCTAGCAACCCAAAGGTTTTGTGTTCAAATCTCATCACAGACAACTTTTGCATCTAGCAACATTTCAACTACTTTTTAGCTACTTTTCAACTCCTTAGAACGTTAGCTAATCCTTCCCCTAACCGTTTTAGCTAACCCTTCCCCTAACCTCTAGCCAGCTAGCTAACTTTAGCCACATTACATTTGAATTTGTAACATATGTTTAGCAGATTCGTAACATATCGTACGTTTTGCAAATTCGTAACATATAGTACTAATTGTTATTCATACATATCATACAAAATGGATGATGGGCATCCACAAATTAATACATACCATACGAAATGTAACATATGCCTGGTAGATTCAAGACCATAGGTTATGTTTGCATGCTAATCATTTCTCCATCCTGATGTACGCTTTCACTCGTTCACTATTCCCCACAAAGAAAATTGGTGTTGGCATGGGTAGGGCTAGATGGAGTTTTCACATACAAGTCATTTCCTTTCAAATCCGTGAAGACAAGTGAACAAGTAGTGTTTACTTTGAGAGAATATTGTGTCTAACAGTTATTTTAACAGTTCACTACTTGTCTCTAACATTTACATTTTAGTCATTTAGCAGATGCTCTTATCCAGAGCAACTTACAGGAGCAATTAGGGTTAAGTGCCTTGCTCAAGGGCACATCGACACATTTTTCACCTAGTCGGCTCGGGGATTAGAACCAGCGACCTTTCGGTTACTGGCACAACGCTCTTAACCACTAAACTACCTGCATGATTTCAGTTGATTATTTATAATGAGGTTGACAAAGCAGCTCTTGGCACCCATCAACACCTTTCTGATAAGAAAACAACGATGTGAGGTAAATAACAACCTAATATTTTGATCAATATCTTACATGATATAATAAATAAAAAAGAAACAATCGCATTAAACATTTAATAAAAAAAGTTAAAATACATTGGGAAAATATTACCATAATCTGCATACATTTATTACAACTGATATTAATTTACAATAGTAACACCACAAAACCCTCACTTTTTGCCATCATTTCCATACAATAAAAAGGCTCCAAAGCGAGCAGCATCAGAGTAGGAAGATTCTTTTCAGGGAAGCTCCACTTCCAACAGCTTTCATTTCCTTTGGCTGCTGGGAAAGAAAGACGAGATCTTGCTTTGTGCTTTCCCAGGCATTGAAACTGAAAGAGACCCAAAAGTGAATTGAAAAATGGTTGACACATTGTAAAATTATGTTAATGTATTCATATCTTTTATAGGCTTATATATTTTTAAACTCTAAAGTTGTTAAATTACATTTGATCCCATTACTACATTATTAAATCAAAATGGTCATTATTGCAAACCAGCTGTTTTCAACACTCCCAAATTGTGTTAATTAACAATGCCTGTTAAACAGAATAATGGGAGAAGGTTTCCTTGGTTCAATAATTACGTCTATAGGCTTTATGCTCGCTGTAATAGTTACAATAGTGCTGACAATACAAGGACTTCTATTGAATTGTTATTCTCTCTTGAAGGCACTTGCGAAATGTCCCTTCACCTTGCGTTAGTTGGCCTGAAATCCCAGAGGAAGCACTTGAGCCTGTGGAGTCACCTATCAAGGCGTCCAGCATCTCTTTGTACTGTTTCTTATGGTGAAGCCGGATGAACAGGGCAAATGCTAGGGACACAAAGGATGACAAATATAATATGCATCCATACCGTACCATAGTTCATGTTCATCAATGGATCTTCAAATGTCACAATTTCACTTAATTGAATTTCAGATTTAAGTGAGAATACAAAGAACCGTGCTTGCCAAGACGCTCAACTCAAATACAATACATTTGGTACGAACTTACTGCTAAGGAGGTTAAAGTCTTCGTTTTTCTCAGTTAACAAACTCACTACTGTGTCCACCAGGCTTTCATAGTTGTCTGTCTTCTTATAGCTCTGAATAGCTGAGAACAGTTGGTTGGACTTCTCAAGTCCAATGGATTTTTTCACATCTGCGATGAAGCTGGCGTAGATTTGACTCTTCTGAGCAGATTGGACTGGTGCTTGGTCTTTGCATTTAGGATCAACTGGTGAGCACAGAACAAGACAAACACGTTCAATTCTTTCAGGATTTGGCCAAACCAGTAAAGAAAAGCATGCCAACGTTTGTATGTGCGTGAATGTGGCCTCTCATATCTCTATCATGCTCTATCAGTGTGTCATGCTCATGCATAGCCATGACAGATGAGGTGGTATTTCACGGTGTAAACTTGGTTGGCGAAACGTTGTAACGATATCCTTCCAATCTTTCACCAACCAAGTTTTCACCCTGAAATAACACCACATCTGTCATGGCTAACGTTTGAACAACGTTGTGGGGAGATGTGCCTGAAAGGTGTCTATGCTGAAGCTAGTAAACAATTCCTGTGTAACTGTATGAACTGAGTGAGTGGCTGAATGTAAGAGGGGAATCCTTGGTTAAAACCCAAAGATTCAAGGATTAAAGACTCAGCCCCCCCAATAAATATATAATCTTCAACTAGGCCTGTTCAGGAAGGCGCAACTTTATGGCACATTCAGATATAAATATATTATGTAGAACAGTCTGTTGTGCAGATGAAACGTAGGGAATTGTGTCAGCTTTATTTCTAACATTTCTATCTGCAACGTTGAGAACGTTCCATCTTACTGAATACACTCCAGGTATCCAGCAGTACCTGTAAGCACTTGATTCTTTGGCAAATGCTCCTCTGTAGTCAATCTGTGATTTCCAAGGTGATGGCCTCCTTTATTAAGCAGCAGACTGGTGTTGAGCTGACTGCAGGAAGAGCTTGAGTCAGAAGTGACAGCAACACCAGTCAGCTTTCCTGACTTGGCTTTAAAACAAACACAAATCTAGGTTACTGGGTTGTTCTGGGGGTGAAATACAAAAACACTCAGTTGCATTTTTGAAGCCTAACTGCAACGATGGTCATAATAGTCGAACAATTAGGCTCAGGGCCGGCTCCAGGTATAAGTGACATAAGTGGTCGCTTAGGGCCCCCGGGAGAGAGTTTAGCATAGTAGAATACACAAGGTGCAATTTCTAAATTTGGTTGTGCGTCAGCAGTTTTTCTCTTGTTATGTCAGTCACAGACAGTCACTCAATTAGCCATGTCATCTAACAATTTTTAGATTGGTAAAGTCTAGCCAGCTATCTAAATCATGGCCGAATACTGACCTCCAGGGGGCCCCTTTTGATTTTGTTAGTGACTCATTTAAATAGGCCTATCATTAACATGTCATAAGTCTTGGTCAATTGTGTAGAACTGCAGGAAATTAGCTTTAAAACTGTACATTTTCTCTCTCTGCCCCATGGTAAAATTAGTAGAATTGCATGACAATTTTTATAGAATTGCTAAACTTCTCCCCCACCCCATGGCAAAATGTGTAGAATTGCAGAAAGCTTGCTTTAAAATTGCAACATTTTCTCTACTCCCCATGGCAAAATGTGTATAATTGCAGGAAATTAACTTTAAAACGTACATTTTCTTGCTGTCGTGAAGAGGGGGGGCCACTACAATGTTTTGCCCAAAAGGATAGGGCCGGCCCTGATTAGGCTAGTCAGAATGTAATGATTCAGGATTCATGAACTGGACAAGAAAGTGGGTGTTTGTCATCTTCGTGCCCAAAGTTATCCTTGCTCAAATGTGAAATTACTAATGCATCACATTAACAGTCACACTCAACCCAGTTTCTTGACATGTCTGGAGCTCAGTTGATAGAGCATGGCGTTTGCAACGCCAGGGTTGTGGGTTCGATTCCCACGGGGGGCCAGTATAAAAAAAATATGTATTCACTAACTGTAAGTCGCTCTGGATAAGAGCGTCTGCTAAATGACTAAAATGTAAAAATGTAAAATGAAAATACAGTGTTACTAAATGCATCCTAGTGGTCAGTGTAAGGAACTAAGAATTGATTGCATACCCCCGTTTTGCATCAGCATTTCTTTCTCCTCCTTGGATAGTGAGTGATCGGGTTTGTATCCACAGCCCTGGCCAGTCAGCTCCATGCATTTCTCATCAAATCTCTTTTTGTGGTGGGGTCGTATGAACTGGTAGAATCCTGAAATACAGTAAGGTTTGAGGTCAAACCCCAATGCATGTCTAACTTGAAAATTGTTACATTTCCTAAAAATAGGAATACAATACTGCAGTTTGCCAGTTCATAGTTTACACAATTTACAGTTCATAGTTTACACAGTTAAGAAGAGAAGATCTGCACTACCCCAAAGTTTGTGTAATGTTTCAGTACATGTGACTTAATTCATGACTCACCACAAAAGAGAACTTGTGTAACTAACTTCCTTTTTCCTGAATAAATGACAAAATATCATAAACTGCATTACTCATGCTACGTGGAATGATCTTTGAAACCACCTAGCTACAGTGGGGAAAAAATGTATTTAGTCAGACACCAATTGTGCAAGTTCTCCCACTTAAAAAGATGAGGCCTGTAATTTTCATCATTGGTACACGTCAACTATGACAGACAAAATGAGATTTTTTTTCTCCAGAAAATCACATTGTAGGATTTTTAATGAATTTATTTGCAAATGGTGGAAAATAAGTATTTGGTCAATAACAAAAGTTTCTCAATACTTTGTTATATACCCTTTGTTGGCAATGACACAGGTCAAACGTTTTCTGTAAGTCTTCATAAGGTTTTCACACACTGTTGCTGGTATTTTGGCGCATTCCTCCATACAGATCTCCTCTAGAGCAGTGATGTTTTGGGGCTGTCGCTGGGCAACACGGACTTTCAACTCCCTCCAAAGATTTTCTATGGGGTTGAGATCTGGAGACTGGCTAGGCCACTCCACGACCTTGAAATGCTTCTTACGAAGCCACTCCTTCGTTGCCCGGGCGGTGTGTTTGGGATCATTGTCATGCTGAAAGACCCAGCCACGTTTCATCTTCAATGCCCTTGCTGATGGAAGGAGGTTTTCACGCAAAATCTCACGATACATGGCCCCATTCATTCTTTCCTTTACACGGATCAGTCGTCCTGGTCCCTTTGCAGAAAAACAGCCCCAAAGCATGATGTTTCCACCCCCATGCTTCACAGTAGGTATGGTGTTCTTTGGATGCAACTCAGCATTCTTTGTCCTCCAAACACGACGAGTTGAGTTTTTACCAAAAAGTTCTATTTTGGTTTCATCTGACCATATGACATTCTCCCAATCCTCTTCTGGATCATCCAAATGCACTCTAGCAAACATTAGACGGGCCTGGACATGTACTGGCTTAAGCAGGGGGACACGTCTGGAACTGCAGGATTTGAGTCCCTGGCGGCGTAGTGTGTTACTGATGGTAGGCTTTGTTACTTTGGTCCCAGCTCTCTGCAGGTCATTCACTAGGTCCCCCCGTGTGGTTCTGGGATTTTTGCTCACCGTTCTTGTGATCATTTTGACCCCACGGGGTGAGATCTTGCGTGGAGCCCCAGATCGAGGGAGATTATCAGTGGTCTTGTATGTCTTCCATTTCCTAATAATTGCTCACACAGTTGATTTCTTCAAACCAAGCTGCTTACCTATTGCAGATTCAGTCTTCCCAGCCTGGTGCAGGTCTACAATTTTGTTTCTGGTGTCCTTTGACAGCTCTTTGGTCTTGGCCATAGTGGAGTTTGGAGTGTGACTGTTTGAGGTTGTGGACAGGTGTCTTTTATACTGATAACAAGTTCAAACAGGTGCCATTAATACAGGTAACGAGTAGAGGACAGAGGAGCCTCTTAAAGAAGAAGTTACAGGTCTGTGAGAGCCAGAAATCTTGCTTGTTTGTAGGTGACCAAATACTTATTTTCCACCATAATTTGCAAATAAATTAATTAAAAATCCTACAATGTGATTTTCAGGATTTTTTTTTCTCAATTTGTCTGTCATAGTTGACGTGTACTTATGATAAATTACAGGCCTCTCTCATCTTTTTAAGTGGGAGAACTTGCACAATTGGTGGCTGACTAAATACTTTTTTCCCCCACTGTACATTTAATGGTGTGCTGGCCATGACTGGCTATGATGACTGCTTTAAAACGCCCGGTTTCTAACGGATTCTCTTGAGACAAAGATTTCAAATTCCTGTTGCAGTCGTAATGCTGATTAATGTAATTCTCTTGAAGTTGTCATTTAAAACTGACAATGATGACCAAAAACAGTAGACAATACAGATCCAGGGAATGTCATTAATACAATATTTTGACCTTCACACAGGACTGGCTCATGGTTGGGCTACTGTTTTCATTCTCAGCCCGAACCCGATGGTCTTATACCAGGCCGACCTTAAATTCGTAGAATTGATTCGGGCCAGGCGGTTTCGGCCTTGCCACGCTGTGTTTGAGAAGGGGAAAAAAAGTATACGTGTCTTCGCACCTACTGCGGTCTCTCAGCAGCAGCCACTAGCGGCGCCAGGATTCCAATATTGGCTGGGCCAGAGAAATTTGTGGCCATGATGAAATGTATTTTTCTGACGATTGAAAAGTTTCGAATTGCGATTCAAAGAGGCTGCACTCAGGAAAATGATCCACAAGACCACAACAGGCAGTGCGTCTCAGAATCAGGAGACACACATAATTCCAATGGCATCTGTTAACGCTGACACATCCTAACAAAATACTCCCTATGACTGCCCTGCTAATGTGCCTTGCTGGACCTTGCAAACTATCTAAAGTAGAGCCATAATTGATCAAAATGTTTTCCTAATCAGGCATAGGCTTGATGCAGTTATTTCGGAATAAACCATGCATTCAAAACACAGGGCTTTTGAGGGAATATTCAAATGGTTGTTTGGCAGAAAATAGTTATGTACTTATTGTTTAATCAAGGCTCCCTTTATTATTAAATTTTCAAAATAAAATGCTTGTTGTATTTAAAGATGAAATCCGCAATAGGGGCAAACAGCGTCATGGCCGTTATTGTTTTTGTTGTTGTTGACAGAGTAGAGGTGAAATTGCAGTCCATATTCCAAATTGCGTGTGCAATGATGTCCAAGGGAAAAAGACTGTCTGTTGTTTGCAGTAACTTCTATGTTGTTGTAATATTGGAAACGGACGTGGCAGTTTCACCATTAAGAATTTCAGCTTTAAAGGCATAAATGACTTGTATGCTGTGTAATGAAATTCATGAATGATTGATTGAGAGACTGTATATTGAAGTAGGCTAAATTACTTAAGACATAAAACAAGACGCACTAACAGCTCGATAGTGGATAGATTATATAAGGCTATTATAGCCTATACGCGAGTCAAGAGCAAAATAACACACTTCAATTGCATTAGCCAACTTTATCCCAATATTCTCTGAGTTTTCAGCTCTCTTTGCTTTTCTATGACAAGGGCTGTTTCCTCATCTTCTCACTTCGCTCCCTCCCAATTCCGCCACATTGTTCTCAACACCAGTTTAAATCAATATACTGTTTTCTAGAAAACTTTTCTTTTTTTGGGGGGGGGGGGGGTTGTTGTACTCATTACATTTCTGTGATGTCGGACCGAGCTGGCTTGGGCAAGACCGGGCTCGAATTTTCAGGTCCGATGAGAACTCTAGATTGGACAAGCCTAAATGACAGCCATCGTTATCATGCGGGGTCAATGTATACAAGAGGGGTGCGACTTCAAGGGAAGTGACTGGGATGACTGCTATTTAGTTTTTCCCTACGATTAATTCATGCCCTCCCCCACTCCTGGACAGGCTGTACACGCACAAACACACACACACTTCAGGCACATGCAGCAAATGTTTAACATTAGAATGTACCATTGAGCAGGTTCCATTTTCTCTAGCTGAGTGAGAGTGACCTGATGACTCAGGTGAGCCCAGCATTGAACACACAAGGCCGAGACCCATTACTATACAAGCTGAACCCACAAGCACACATACACACACCTCGGAGCAGGTTGTGGGTGTTGGCGTCCCCAGTGAAGAGGTCTGCTGCCTCGGCAAGCAGTTCATCAAGGTCATCCGTCCGTTTGTACGTCTGCAGGGCCGCCATGATTCGCTGGAAATTAACCTGACTCAGCGACCTTTTCATTTCTGCCAGGAACGACTTGGCTTTTCCCGCTTTGCCCTCTTCTGACACATCAGGAGCCAGGGGGATTTTCTTTGAAAGGTGGAAAGGGAGAAATGGTGTGTTAGTGTGTCATACATCCTAGTGTGTCTAGCCATGACAGATGCAAGGGTATTTCACTGTAAATATTTGGAAAAAAAATCCTCAGCAATCTACACACAATACCCCATAACGACAAAGCAAAAACAGGTTTTTACAAATTCTTTACAAATGTATTAAAAATAAAAAACAGAAATACCTTATTTACATAAGTATTAAGACCCTTTGCTATGAGACTTGAAATTGAGCTCAGGTGCATCCTGTTTCCATTGATCATCCTTGAGAAGTTTGTACAACTTGATTGGAGTCCACCTGTGGTAAATTGAATTGATTGGACATGATTTGGAAAGGCACACACCTGTCTATATAAGGTCCCACAGTATATAAGGTCTGACAGTGCATGTCAGAGAAATAATCAAGTCATGAGGTCGAAGAAAATGTCCGTAGAGCTCCGAGACAGGATTGTGTCGAGGCACAGATCTGGGGAACGGTACCAAAAAATTTCTGCAGCATTGAAGGTCCCCAAGAACGCAGTGGCCTCCATCATTCTTAAATGGAAGAAGTTTGGAACCACCATGACTCTTCCTAGAGCTGGCCGCCCGGCCAAACTGAGCAATCGGGGGAGAAGGGCCTTGGTCAGGGAGGTGACCAAGAACCCGATGGTCACTGACAGAGCTCCAGAGTTCCTCTGTGGAGATGGGAGAACCTTCCAGAAGGACAACTGTCTCTGCAGCACTCCACCAAATCAGGCCTCCACGCTTACAGTTCCACTCCATAACATGCACATGACATTTGAGTGAGAGTTGTTTGAGAGGGCGTGAACGAAGTGGAAGGGAGATTGCTTGGAATTGTGCGAGGTAATCACTGGGGAGTCTATTGTGGAAAATATTCAAAACGAGGGGACAAAAGAGCGCCAAATCTACTCCATACTTTGCAGTCCCTCCAGGATTTCGCGATTCTAACACTTTTTGCAAATCAACAATTCCCAGCATATTATGCGAAGTCACACAATTTTAACCAATCACCGTACTTTTACTGCATAAAATATACTGAACAAAAATATAAATGCAACATGCAACAATTTCAAAGATTTGACTGAGTTACAGTTCACATAAGGAAATCCACCCATTGAAATAAATTCATTAGGCCCTAAATCTATGGATTTAACATGATTGGGAATACAGATATGCATCTGTTGGTCACAGATACCTTTAAAAAAAACTAGGGGCATGGATCAGAAAACCAGTCCGTATCTGGTGTGACCACCATTTGCCTCATGCAGCATGACTCATCTCCTTTGCATAGAGTTGATCAGGCTGTTGATTGTGGCCTGTGGAATGTTGTCCCACTCCTCTTCAATGGCTGTGCGAAGTTGCTTGATATTGGTGGGAACTGGAACATGCTGTCATACACGTCGATCCAGAGCATCGCAAACATGCTCAATGGGTGACATGTCTGGTGAGTATGCAGGCCATGGAAGAAAATGGGACATTTTCAGCTTCCAGGAATAGTGTTCAGATCCTTGTGACATGAGGCTGTGCATTATCATGTTGAAACATGGAGGTGATGGCGGCGATGAATGGCACGACAATGGGCCTCAGGATCTCGTCACGGTATCTCTGTGCATTCAAATAGCCATCGATAAAATACAATTGTTTGTTGTCCATAGCTTATGCCTGCCCATACCAAAACCCCACCATGGGGCACTCTGTTCAGCAAACCACTCGCCCACACGAAGCAATACCGGTTGGACTTACTGCCAAATTCTTTAAAACTTTGTTGGAGGCGGTTTATGGTAGAGAAATTAACATTAAATTATCTGGCAACAGCTCTGGTGGACACTCCTGCTGTCAGCATGCCAATTGCACGCTCCCTCAAAATTTGAGACATCTGTGGCATTGCGTTGTGTGACAAAACTGCACATTTTAGAGTGGCCTTTTATTGTCCCCACCACAAGTAGCACCTGTGTAATGATCATGCTGTTTAAGAAGCTTCTTGATATGCCACACCTTCTTGGCAAAGAAGAAATGCGCTCTAACGGGGATGCAACAAATGTTTGCACAGAATTCTACAGACATTTGCTTTTTGTGCATATGGGATCTTTAATTTCAGCTCATGAAACATGGGACCAACACTTTACGTGTTGCGTTTATATTTTTGTTCAGTGTAGTTCAATCAAGCCTGTGTCAACAAACTTTTTCCTCTGTCAGTGCATTTTCGTGACAAATTGGTTTTATGTAATTAGTTTTATGTCATTGGTGTTACCGCCTTGAAATTCAGTCATTACTAAGACATACAGGAACCTTGAGCATTCTCTCCAATAGCAAACTGTTATAGGGGGAAGGGTCTAAATTAAAGACAATTATTACCCTTTTAGTATGTCATAAATATGAGGAATGCATTGATAATCTGGTGTGTCTAAATACAAAGTGTCATTGGTGTTACTCAATTTAAATGAAGGCTAATTACATTGTGAGCAAAAGGATTAATCATATCACTTTAGTAAATGTTTTTAACCGTAGATTTTAGCATCTGTGGCCTCCATTTAAGAAAATCCTCAATGACCTAAAATGTGTAATTGGTGTTACTACTCCTAGTGGTGGCACAATGTTATCACAATGGTACAAATTATTTAAAGTATTTAAGCTGCCATATTAGTTGATGTAGAATAGTAAAGATCTAACCAAATTAAATAAAATTGAAAATGAAGTAAATTGTTGCCCAAATGCCATGCCCAAATCAATGCCACCAATTCAAGAACCACCCTACTATAACACAGGATTGATTCACCATAGTATGAAATAAACCTACAACTTACCGTAAAACTTAAATTACACTCTTTTAATAGCTGGGCATCGGCACACATTTCAGCAAATAAATGCCTGTTTCAAATAACTGCTGGGTCTAAACAAATTGTTTGAGGTTACAATGGACACCGCTCTGATATTCCCATGGTCATGTCCATAATTTATTTAGTTTATTCTGTCATTGTTGCTAACCATTGCGCCACCAAAAAGAAAATATCAAATTCAAGCTAGCAGTGATAAAATTCGCTGCTAGTGCAGGCTGGCTTGACAAATTCCTCGAGCGCATTGTGTTTTCAGTCAGATGGCGCACTACTGTTGGAAAGAGACGCCTGGCTCAAATAGAAGCCTGATGCTAATAAGGCCCGGTTGTGTTCAGTTATTGAAGCAAATAAAAACGCCCAGACTATTAAAGTTTTACGGTAGTATATTTGCTCAAACCAAATCAATTTGAATGAGTCTCAATGAATTTTCAAAACTTCTATTGTGTCAAAAGTTAATTTCTGCAACTGCAACATAACAGTGCCATTTCATTGTACCTAGGTAATATTAATACAAACCATGAGTATGTTCACGGTTGGCCAAACAGACAAGTATCAACATTAGGTCAAGCACGATTTTCTGTGAGTCAGTATCACACACAGAAACTTCCATGCCAGAATAAATAATGGAGCTCCTGTTCAATGTAAACTCAGCAAAAAAAGAAACATCCCTTTTTCAGGACCGTCTTTCAAAGATAATTCGTAAAAATCAAAATAACTTCACAGACCTTCATTGTAAAGGGTTTTAACACTGTTTCCCATGCTTGTTCAATGAACCATAACAATTAATGAACATGCACCTGTGGAACGGTCGTTTAGACACTAACAGCTTACAGACGGTAGGCAATTAAGGTCACAGTTAAGAAAACTTAGGACACTAAAAGGCCTTTCTACTGACTCTGAAAAACACCAAAAGAAAGATGCCCAGGGTCTCTGCTCATCTGCGTGAAACGTGTCTTAGGCATGCTGCAAAGAGGCATGAGGACTGCAGATGTGGCCAGGGCAATAAATTGCAATGTCCGTACTGTGAGACGCCTAAGACAGCGCTACAGGGAGACAGGACGGACAGCTGATCGTCCTCGCATTGGCAGACCACGTGTAACACCTGCACAGGATCGGTACATCCGAACATCACACCTGTGGGACAGGTACAGGATGGCAACAACAACTGCCCGAGTTACACCAGGAACGCACAATCCCTCCATCAGTGCTCAGACTGTCCGCAATAGGCTGAGAGAGGCTGGACTGAGGGCTTGTAGGCCTGTTGTAAGGCAGGTCCTCACCAGACACCACCGGCAACAACGTCGCCTATGGGCACAAACCCACCATCGCTCGTCGCTGGGCACAAACCCACCGTCGCTGGACCAGACAGGACTGGCAAAAAGTGCTCTTCACTGACGACTCGCGGTTTTGTCTCACCAGGGGGGATGGTCGGATTCGCGTTTATCGTCAAAGGAATGAGCGTTACACCGAGGCCTGTACACTGGAGCGGGATCGATTTGGAGGTGGAGGGTCCATCATAGTCTGGGGCGGTGTGTCACAGCATCATCGGACTGAGCTTGTTGTCATTGCAGGCAATCTCAACACTGTGTGTAACAGGGAAGACATCCTCCTCCCTCATGTGGTACCCTTCCTGCAGACTCACCCTGACATGACCCTCCAGCATGACAAAGCCACCAGCCATACTGCTCGTTCTGTGCGTGATTTCCTGCAAGACAGGAATGTCAGTGTTCTGCCATGGCCAGCGAAGAGCCCGTATCTCAATCCCATTGAGCACGTCTGGGACCTGTTGGATCGGAGGGTGAGGGCTAGGGCCATTCCCCCCAGAAATGTCCAGGAACTTGCAGGTGCCTTGGTGGAAGAGTGGGGTAACATCTCACAGCAAGAACTGGCAAATCTGGCGCAGTCCATGAGGAGGAGATGCATGCACTGCAGTACTTAATGCAGCTGGTGGCCACACCAGATACTGACTGTTACTTTTGATTTTGACCCCCCCCCCTTTGTTCAGGGACACATTATTCAATTTCTGTTAGTCACGTCTGTGGAACTTGTTCAGTTTTTGTCTCAGTTGTTGAATCTTGTTATGTTCATACAAATATTTACACGTTAACTTTGCTGAAAATAAACACAGTTGACAGTGAGAGGATGTTTCTTTTTTTGCTGAGTTTATTTTGTTCCACAAACTTCCTTGTGCCAATGATGTTACGGATCAACAATGCGGATGACACATAATGGAGTGAGAGGCTCTTGTGACTGTGGTATGGAGCTGGGGGCTAGTCTTAGCGTTAGCCTTATAAGGTATTTCTGGAACAATTGTTTGTGCCATCATTCCTCTGTGACCAACCTGCAAGTGTTGGGGGAAGCGTGAGGATGAGTTGCGCACAGGCCTCAAACTTAGTGCGCTATAGGGCTTTTAACAGCAGTTGTGTTTAGACATACAGTATTTCACATACCCGTTCTTGGACCACTTTGATTTTTCGTTTTCCACCACGCAATTCGTCATCCACGCGCTTGTCGTATTGAAGAGACAGCGTGGATAAGCGATTAGCCTAAAGGGAATGGAACCATTATCAGACAATGTTGTTAACATCATCAGCAGTTTTATTCAGTACTACATTTATACAAAAAAACATACACTTTTGCTATGATCACCTATGGTCCTCCTAAATCTGCTGTAAACAGCCTTTACCTTACACAACCTTAGCTCATAGCATCCCTGGACAGTAAAAACAGCACCTTACATGAGCGGATTATATTATTCTCATTATGGTCTATTGATTGCTCAATCGTGACCAAGGACATTTTACAATATTTCAGGAAACTATTGAGTGAAAGAGCAGCCAGGATATATGCTATGATATTGGAAGGAACAGAGCCTATATTACTTGACTGACTAACTTCAAACATAGTGTTATCACATCCAATAACTAGCCTAAGCTTGCAGGTATCTAGTATTTATTTCCTGACTGACTAAATGTGTGTTGAGACAACCACCGCCTCCACATGGCTTTTGGGAACTGGAAAAAGAGAGCATTTTGTTCGGACCATAAACACACATCCCTTGTTCGTTTGCTCAGCGTTAAGTGGGACATGGCATTTAGAAAAAATGGCAGAGAGAAAGAGGGAAGTCTGAGTAAACAATTGGACATTATAAAATGTGCTCAACCACTGGTGTGGTGAATCTGTAGTTTTAAATGTGTCACATTTTGGTTGTGCTGATACAAAATGACTATGTCATTAAAAAATCTTAGTGAGTGGATTACTGGAAACTGTACGTAGTGCCTAGCAAGCGCCACATACTAGCTAGCAATAAGGGAAACAATAGCATTATGTTACATTTTCATTGATTACAAGTATGGAATGATATTTGATTTAATCTGTTTGATTTAATAATGTTAATTTAAAACAACTAATAAAATCAATGAAAGATAGTAGAAGTATTTTGTAGACAACTGGATGAGAGGAGTAATAGAAATAGATTGAGAACATTTCTATGGTAATTTAAGCTCTAGCTAATATGCTTGCTCATATTTAATCAGCTGAAACATGTTTTTGCTCAATGCTGTGGATTCCTAGCCTTTCCCAATCAGACTCCTTATTTCATCACTTAGGGACGGTTTCCCTAAATGATCTGTGTCTGGGAAATCGCCTCTATTGTCAATTACATTAATTATTTGGCCGTAAGTTAGCCAACAGCAGTCAATAGTGTAGACAATCATTGGTGAAACTGTCATCATTCACTGTAGTGACTTCCCGGTAAGTTTATGTTGACGTGTATCGAACTTTGTCTAGCGACAGAGGTAAAACGATATTGGCAGTTGCATCAAAGCAGTGTAAAATGCATTTCTCCTACTGCATCTGTTTAACCAGACCAGATGTGTTCAGTAGAACTTTCCGTGATATTATTTTTACGGGAATAAGGGAACACCTTTCTCCAACTCATCTGTTCAGACACAGGTTTCTGTAGTAAAGCCAAGTGTACCCTCTCCTCGCCCGCTAGGACCTCGTCTTCATCTCCATAGCGGCTGTCGCTGTGCTCCAGGGCGTCCAGCAGGCCGGCCGGCCTCCTTCGGCTCGACTCCATCTCCGTTTCGTACTCGATGCACAGCCTGGCCATGCCATTCCCCTCACTGCCTACATGCTCATCTGAGACCAGAAACAGACGGAGACAGTTGATGAGACAAGTGAAAAGAGGTGATGAGACAGATGACAAGACAGGTGATAAGACGAGTCACTTCCAGACACACAAACATGACCAGACCTGTGGCAAATGGCTCAGGTCTCTCCTGAAAAATAGATTTTGTATAATCTCAATGAGACTACCTGGTTAAACAAAAAATGACTTTCATATATTACAGCTGTGCTTGATTTAGTTTGCCCACCCAGTACAATGGAACCAATAGAATAGTCCCAAAAGTGCAAACTTCAAATTAAGTCAAGCACATCTCAAATAGTATTTAACAGGTATTTGACCCAGGTCTGCACATGACATAGGGAACTGATGAGAAGCAAAAGGAGAAATATTGTTATGTAACTAAAACTTTCACTCAAACCATGCATTGGTGCCACTGCATGTGCGGTGTAGATACTCACTCAGCCGTCGCCTTTTCAGACTGGGCACGTGGGAGTCCAGTATTTTTGCCTTCAGGGCGAAACCTCTCTGGGTGGAGCCCTGGGAGTGGCAGGGTCTGGCGCTGGCACACTGGGCATCTGCCGAGTGTACCGCCCCACCACAGCTCCCCTTTGCAGGCTTCTTCTCTGGAGGAGGCCTCTGGGACATTAGAACAGTCAGAGGTCAGAGAGTTCAGAGGTCAAGATTGAGATCAGAATTCGACAAAAATTATATCTCACGTCTGCAGTGAAACTACAAAACAAAATGGAGGCATTTAACAGATTCATCCCCAGTTGTGCATCTCTAAATCACCCATTGACAATATCCGCAGTGTAATCGAGAGAGATCGACTGTTCTGAGGAAAGCTGTAGGCTACAGTTCCGACGAAAAATGTACATTACAGTTCTGAGGAGAGTTGTAGGCTACAGTTCTGAGGAAAGATGTACAGTTCTGGCCAAATGTATTGGCAGCCTTGCACATTTCTTAAATAATTCCCTATTTCTTCTAAAATAATAATATACAGTGCATTTGGAAAGTATTCAGACCCCTTGACTTTTTCAACATTTTGTTACGTAATAGCCTTATTCTGAAATTGATTAAATTACTTGTTTCCCTCAATCTACACACAATACCCCGTAATGACGAAGTGAAAACAGGTTTTTAGAAATTAGAAATACCTTATTTACATAAGTATTGAGACCCTTTGCTATGAGACTCGAAATTGAGCTCAGGTGCATCCTGTTTCCATTGATGATCCTTGAGATGTTTGTACAACTTGATTGGAGTCCACCTGTGGTAAATTCAATTGATTGGACATGATTTGGAAAGGAACACACCTGTCTATACACAGTTGACAGTACATGTTAGAGTAAAAACCAAGCCATGAGGTCGAAGGAATTGTCCGTAGAGCTCCGAGACAGGATTGTGTCAAGGCACAGATCTGGGGAAGGATACCCCAAAATGTCTGCAGCATTGAAGGTCCCAAGAACACAGTGGCCTCCATCATTCTTAAATGGAATAAGTTTGGAAACACCTAGACTCTTCCTAGAGCTGGCCGTCTGGCACTCCTGAGCAATCGGGGGAAAGGGCCTTGGTCAGGGAGGTGACCAAGAACCCGATGGTCACTCTGACAGAGCTCCAGAGTTCCTCTGTGGAGATGGGAGAACCTTCCAGAAGGACAACCATCTCTGCAGCACTCCACCAATCAGGCCTTTTATGGTAGAGTGGCCAGACGGGAGCCACTCCTCAGTAAAAGGCTCATGACAGCCCGCTTAGAGTTTGCCAAAAGGCACCGAAATGACTCTAAGACCATGGAAAACAATATTCTCTGGTCTGATGAAACCAAGATTGAACTCTTTGGCCTGAATGCCAAGCATCATGTCTGGAGGAAACCTGGCACCATGCCTACGGTGAAGCATGGTGGCGGCAGCATCATGTTGTGGGGATGTTTTTCAGTGGCAGGGACTGGGAGACTAGTCAGGATCGAGGGAAAGATGAACGGAGCAAATTACAGAGAGATCCTTGATGAAAATCTGCTTCAGAGCACTCAGGACCTCAGACTGGGGCGAAGGTTCACCTTCCAACAGGACAATGACCCTAAGCACACAGCCAAGACAACGCAGGAGTGGCTTTGGGACAAGTCTCTGAATGTCCTTGAGTGGCCCAGCCAGAGCCTGGACTTGAACCCGATCAAACATCTCTGGAGAGACGTGACAATAGCTGTGCAGTGACACTCCCCATCCAACCTGAAAGAGCTTGAGAGGATCTGCAGAGAAGAATGGGAGAAACTCCCCAAATACAGGTGTGCCAAGCTTGTAGCGTCATACCCAAGAAGACTCAAGACAATAATATCTGCCAAAGGTACTGAGTAAAGGGTCTGAATACTTATGTAAATGTTATTTCAGGTTTTTATTTTTAATACATTTGCAAAAATGTCTAAAAACCAGTTTTTGCTCTGTAATTATGAGGTATTGTGTGTAGATTGATTTTGTAATTTAAAAAAAAACCCATTTTAGAATAAGGCTGTAATGTAACAGAATGTGGAAAAAGTCAAGGGGTCTGAATACTTTCCGAATGCACTTGCCTTCATTCATTGGATTCCTATCTCCTTTCTATAATATATCTGGCAACGGCACCATGCAATGCACCCTGGACTAGAGGCAGACAAATAGGAAAAATGTGCTAGATCCTCCGTTAAATTACACATTTCGAGGTAGGAATATCGCAAAAATATGATCAATAGCTCATTCGAGAAACGACATCCTCCCAAGTTATGACATCGGCCAGTTATGAAATCTGACGTCTGATAGACGTTTTCGCGATCTAAAAGTCGTATTTCCTATTAACTTCCAGTGTACTGAGAACGACTTTATCACAGTGCTGCTGCTTGAACGCCAATAACTCAGATACACATGAAAACATGAAATGACCTAGCGAATCAATAAAACATCACTCAGAGATGCACAAAAACAATGTAACATTCAAAATGGGTGTACCTTTCCTTTAAGGGTTATTATTACAGTACATTCCAAATGTATAATTTAATGGTTCACTATCAAGCAGTCAAAGTCACTCAAGATGTACTCTTCTGCTTGACCCACTTACAAGTTTCTGTGCAACTCTGAAGAACTGGGCCACGTCACGGACCACATTCCCAAAGTTGTCGTAAGTGCGCACGTAGGGCCTCACCCACGAGGGTAGCTGGGCACGTGCGTCTGTGCTTTTGAACCTGGAGGAAATAGCCAACGGACACTATAGAGTTGCATGATAGGAAAAACTCTGGTAACACTATAATAACGTTCAGTAATAAATCATTTATAAGGCATTTACAAACAGTTTGTTCACCATTTATTACTCATTACTCCCACATTTGAAAATGATGGTAAGCTACTGCTTATTATTTTACCATTGATATGATTTAGGCCATTTTGACACCTTAAAGAGCATCAAGTACTGCTGGAATGTCTACCAATGTCCATCTTTTTGTGAGAAATTACTGGTCACTCAAAACATTTATAAAGTATTTATAAAGTATAGCCTAGATAGCCCTGACCTTATATTAGGGACCTCAAAAACACTGAACTAATGATTAGTAAATGGTTTAAAAGGACATATTAAACATATTTTTAATGATCTCATGAATCATTCATAAATAATTAAAAAAGTTGTTTATAATGTGTGAATAACTAGCTTACTAACATTTACAAATGTGGGAGAAATGGTGAGCAAACTGTAAATGCCTTATACATGGTTTATTACTGACTGTTTTTAGAAAGTGTTACCAAAACTCAAATTGTGTAACAATCTGTCTGACCGTATTGACAGAGACACGTGACACTAGATCGAATAATCCACCCTTACAACAGAACAGCTTGACAATGTAAACAGAAGTTCAATTTCGTATCAATATTGAATAGAGAAGGGCATGAGTGACTCTATTGAAACAATAACTACCTACCCATACATACACATTGTGGGATAGCTGATGTTACCTTTTTCCACATAATAGCAGGTGATGACAAGTGATGACTTGCACATTTGAGTTATCAGGCAAAGGATGATGACTAGAATCCTATAGAACAATATAGTTTGTCCCTGTCATGTCATGTTTTCAATGTCTACCTCTATTTCTAAAGACACGTCATGTTCCATCCCCAACACTGCCTGAAGAAGACTATATGCTGGTCTGCTCCTACTTATAAGTATTTGTTGTATATATTAACTGTAAACAGTTCACTAAAGTTTTCTGCATCGTACTGGCTGCCTACTTGTTTTCCTTCTTGTATTACCTGCCATTTAGGGGCCTATGACTGGAACCATAAGATGATGGGCATTCACCACTGATGATAACCTGAAATGACCAGCATACACCACTGATAACCTGAAATGACCAGCATACACCACTGATAACCTGAAATAACCAGCATACAATACTGACCTGTGGTCGCACAAGAAGATAGCCCCGTAGTCATCACGGTGGCGAATGACTCTGCCGATAGCTTGGTTCACCGCCCTGGACGCCTGCTGTCTATACCAGTTCTGCCCTGACAGGTACTACACAGACAGACACACACACGGAAAGGCAAGCAGAGAAACACACATATTAACAAGTAGTCCAACTTGTTAGTGCATGAAGATCTTCGCAAAAAAATTTGTTTTAAAGTATGTTTTGTTTTTAGTAAAAAAAAAAAAAAGTGAATTGACAATTTACATGAACCTCACTTCCGTAAGGTCACCCATCAGTGAAGCCCTAATAAATCCTGTAATAGACCGTCAGTCAGAGGACCAGCGAAGGGGCTTCCTCCTTACCTGCACCCCGGAGGTCTTCTTCCTGCACATCTCGTCCAGGTACTGCATCTTCAGAATGACCCGGGGGTCCATGCGGGGCGGGAACGGGAGGCCAGTGATGATGACCCCTCGGCCGTACGTGTCAGCAAAATCCAGCCCCTCGCTGGCCTGGCAGAGGGACAAGGAAACCAATCAAGGCACACGGAAAATACCACTGTATGGGCTTAAGATCAATTCAGAGTGACGTCTCTATGCATTGTCAAAATATTGCAGCGACCATCACCCAACACTTAGCGACCTCGTCAAGAGGTTTAGATATTTTGGCGTGACGGCTAAGGCAGTGGTCAATATCGCTTTCTGAGTCAAAATACAAGCCGAGATCTACCACTCAGATTTTTTAAATTTTAAACATGTCTTAAAAAACGTAAGCCTATGAATCATCAACCTTTTAAAAACAGTTCTGGAGCAATGAGGTTTGTGCAGTAGGTTATAAGCCCAATACATTATTACTGCATATTGGATATGCTTGAATTGCCCTGCCAATGTTGTTCTTCTCAGACCATTTCAAAATAATATTTCAAAACTTGAGGTATGATCACACCAGTAATAGATCAGTTGTTGTATTACTTGTGAGGCACAGTTGAGTGAGCATAAATCAACAATTTGAAATAATTAGCTTTTTATTTTTACTGGACTGACGGTGCCTGAATCTAAATGGTCAGTCTCAGAGGAGGATGTAGAATGCAGCACCCTCCCTCCACTGAGACTGAACAAAAAGGGGACAACGTCTTCCAGCTGATTGCGAAACTCGAGTCGCACCGCATTATTTCTGCGGGTTTGTGTCCTGGTCGGGGCTAACCCAGAATTTCCTACATTGGTGTCAGAAGTGGGATGGCACCCGTGAGGCCAACAGAGGGCCATGTGCACCTCAGGGACTTGGTATAGAGAGGTGTGGGGACACGCATTCACGAAGGAAGGGGTAGTGTAGCGTCCTTAACCAAACACCTAGTGACCTCGCCAAGCGGTTCGGATCTCTTGGCGTGCCAGCTAAGGTGTTGGGTTGACAGTCGCTGGACACGGGTTCAAGTCCCGGTCAGCGGTACCCCCCAAATTTGCTATAAGATATTTATGTCAAAAGGCTTAAACAATATTTTTTATAAGGTTGCTGTCCACAAAAAGTAGATTATCCGATGAAATGATTACGACGGGACACACTCCAGGAACAAATGTAAGTACATTATTTGTTTTAATAAAGCAATCATAATAACAGAACAGCAGCTTTTTTTCCATGCTGGGAAACGGTTCTCAAACAATGCTGTCATTCTAGGTATGAACAATGCCAAGAAAAACTGAGGCATTTGTACTGGTTTTTCCTGATTTTCATTACGCAATACAAACATACACATACAAAGGACAACATACAGACGCACAAACATCAATGACATCATACCTGCCCAGAGACCTGTTCTCACACCTACAGTGGATATAAAATGTATACACACCCCTGTTTAAATGCCAGGTTTTTGTGATGTCAAATAATGAGACAAAGATAGATCACGTCAGAACTTTTTCCACTGTTAATGTGACCTATAATGTGAACAATTCAATTGAAAAACAAACTGGCAAGGATATCTGTTGCATAAGTGTGCACACCCTCTTATAACTGGGGATGTGGCTGTGTTCAGAATTAACCAATCACATTCAAACTCATGTTAAATAGAAGTCATTACACACCTGCCATCATTTAAAGTGACTGGTTAATCACAAATAAAGTTCAACTGTTCTAGTAGGATTTTCCTGACATTTTCTTAGAGCAAAAGCCATGGTCCGCAGAGAGCTTCCAAAGCATCAGAGGGATCTCATTTTTGAAAGATATCAGTCAGGAGAAGGGTACAAAATAATTTCCAAAGCATTACATATACCATGGCACACAGTGAAGACAGTCATCATCAAGTGGAGAAAATATGGCACAACAGAGACATTACCAAGAACTGGACGTCCTTCCAAAATTTATGAAAAGACGAGAAGAAAACTGGTCAGGGAGGCTTCCAAGAGGCCTACAGCAACATTAAAGGAACTGCAGGAATTTCTCGCAAGTACTGGCTGTGTGCTACATGTGACAACAATCTCCCGTATTCTTCATATAAATGGGCTATGGGGTACGATGGCAAGACGGAAGCCTTTTCTTACAAAGAAAAACATCCAAGCCTGGCTGAAGTTTGCAAAAACAAATCATCAAGTCCCCCAAAATCACGTGGGAAAATGTGTTATGGTCTGATGAAACCAAGGTTAAACTTTTTGGCCTTAATTCCAAAAGGTATGTTTGGCGCAAAAACAACACTGCACATCACCCAAAGAACACCATACCCACAGTGAAGCATGGTGGTGGCAGCATCATGCTTTGGGGCTGTTTTTCTTCAGCTGGAACCGGGCCCTTAGTCAGGGTGGAGGGAATTCTGAACCGTTCCATATACCAGGCCATTTTGGCACAAAACCTTCAGGTGTCCATTAGAAAGCTGAAGACGAAGAGGAAGTTCACCTTTCAGCACGACAACGACCCAAAGCACACATCCAAATCCACAAAAGCTTCACCAGAAGAAGATTAACGTTTTGGAATGGCCCAGCCAGAGCCCAGACCTGAATCCAATTTAACATCTCTGGGGTGATCAAAAGAGGGCTGTGCACAGGAGATGTCCTCGCAATCTGACAGATTTGGAGCGCTTTTGCAAAGAAGAGTGGGCAAATATTGCCACGTCAAGATGTGCCATGCTAATAGACTCCTACCCAAAAAGACTGAGTGCTGTAATAAAATCAAAAGGTGCTTCAACAAAGTATTAGTTTAAGGGTGTGCACACTTATGCAACCAGGTTATTGTGAGTTTTTTTATTTTTCCCCCTCAAAGATTTCAGTTTGTTTTTCAATTGAATTGTTCACGTTATAGGTCACATTAAAAAGGTGGGAAAAGTTCTGACATGATTTATATTTGTCTCATTCTTTTACATCACAAAAACCTGACATTTTAACAGGGGTGTGTAGACTTTTTATATCCACTGCATCTCCAGTGACTGCACTACTCTCCGCTACGTCCTCAAATTGCATCACTTTGTTCCTCTCCATCGCCCACGTTCTTTCAATATTTACATAATGAAACATATGATTTTTCCATTACCTTAACGATGGAGGATTGGTTGATTTCCAGTTTAAGTATACATTTTTTATAAATAATTGACGAGAACAGTATCGTCCAACCCGTCAGGTATCTCACTTTACCCCAGAGCGGTGCGTGGGTAAAATCACTGGGGAAGCCAAGCCAGGAAAAAATAGCCATATTACAACCTGTGTGATAATTGTGTTGTTTGCGCTATAACCTGTTAGTTCATATGCCTTGCCACCGTGATATATAGGCTTAAGGCCGAGACAATAAGAAGACACAGTGGCAGAAGAAATTAAAACACACCTGTGTTTCATCACAAAACCGGAGAGCAACATCTGTCCGGTGAAGTCCACAAAGCATATTGCATATAACAAACAGTTACATGACCTACAGCATTGTCAAGCAAGTTAATGTTTCCGACATTTTCAGACCACTAAACAACTATTGATTTAGAACCACGGAGAGTTACCGCAAGTCGCAAGAAAACAGGAGCTGCCTCCACTGTTCCAGCTTTAACATTTCAACATCATCAAATCACCTATGCTTAGTCTAATACAGTCGTGGTCAAAAGTTTTGAGAATGACAAGTATTGGTCTTCACAAAGTTCGCTGCTTCAGTGTTATGAGATATTTTTGTCAGATGTTACTATGGTACTGAAGTATAATTACAAGCATTCCATAAGTGTCAAAGGCTTTTATTGACAATTACATTACGTTACTCTGCAATCCGCCCTGGCATGCTGTCAATTAACTTCTGGGCCACATCCTGACTGATGGCAGCCCATTCTTGCATAATCAATGCTTGGAGTTTGTCAGAATTTGTGGGTTTTTGTTTGTCCACCTGCCTCTTGAGGATTGACCACAAGTTCTCAATGGGATTAAGGTCTGGGGAGTTTCCTGGCCATGGACCCAAAATGTCGATGTTTTGTTCCCCGGGCAACTTAGTTATCACTTTTGCCTTATGGCAAAGTGCTCCATCATGCTGGAAAAAGCATTGGTCGTCACCAAACTGTTCTTGGATGGTTGGGAGAAGTTGCTCTCGGAGGATGTGTTGGTACCATTCTTTATTCATGGCTGTGTTCTTAGGCAAAATTGTGAGTGAGCCCACTCCCTTGGCTGAGAAGCAACCCCACACATTAATGGTCTCAGGATGCTTTACTGTTGGCATGACACAGGACTGATGGTAGTGCTCACCTTGTCTTCTCCGGACAAGGTGTTTTCCGGATACCCCAAACAATCGGAAAGGGGATTCATCAGAGAAAATGACTTTACCTCAGTCCTCAGCAGTCCAATCCCTGTACCTTTTGCAGAATATCAGTCTGTCCCTGATGTTTTTCCTGGAGAGAAGTGGCTTCTTTGCTGCCCTTCTTGACACCAGGACATCCTCCAAAAGTCTTCGCCTCACTGTGCGTGCAGATGCACTCACACCTGCCTGCTGCCAATCCTGAGCAAGCTCTGCACTGGTGGTGCCCCGATCCCGCAGCTGAATCAACTTTAGGAGACGGTCCTGGCGCTTGCTGGACTTTGGCGCCTTCTTCACAACAATTGAACCTCTCTCCTTGAAGTTCTTGATGATCCGATAAATGGTTGATTTAGGTGCAATCTTACTAGCAGCAATATCCTTGCCTGTGAAGCCCTTTTTGTGCAAAGCAATGCTGACAGCACGTGTTTCCTTGCAGGTAACCATGGTTAATAGAGGAAGAACAATGATTTCAAGCACCACCCTCCTTTTAAAGCTTCCAGTCTGTTATTCTAACTCAAATCAGCATGAGAGTGATCTCCAGCCTTGTCCTCGTCATCACTCTCACCTGTGTTAACGAGAGAATCACTGACATGATGGCAGCTGGTCCTTTTGTGGCAGGGCTGAAATGCAGTGGAAATGTTTTTTTGGGGATTAAGTTCATTTTCATGGCACAGAGGGACTTTGCAATTAATTGCATGACATTCTGGAGTATATGCACATTTCCATCATCAAAACTGAGGCAGCAGACTTTGTGAAAATTAGTATTTGTGTCATTCTCAAAACTTTTGACCACGACTAAAAGATATCAAAAAACTATTTAGTCCAATACCTAACAAAAATAAACACAGCACGCAACAATTTTAAAGATTTTACTGAGTGTTACAGTTCATATAAGGAAATCAGTCAATTGAAATAAATTCATTAGACCCTAATCTATGGATTTTACATGACTGGGAATACAGATATGCATCTGTTGGTCACAGATACCTTAAAAATAAGGAAGGGGCGTGGAACAGAAAACCAGTCAGTATCTGGTGTGACCACCATTTGCCTCACACGGTGCGACACATCTCCTTCTCATTGAGTTGATCAGACAGTGGATTGTGGCCTGTGGAATATTGTCCCACTCCTCTTCAATGGCTGGGCGAAGTTGCTGGATATTGGCGGGAACTGGAACACGCTGTCGTAGACGTAGATCCAGAGCATCCCAAAGATGCTCAATGGGTGGTGAGTATGCAGGCCATGGAAGAACTGGGACATTTTAAGCTTCCAGGAATTGTGTACAGATCCTTGCGACATGGGGCCGTGCATTATCATGCTGAAACATGAGGTGATGGCAGCGGATGAATGGCACAACAATAGGCCTCAGGATCTCGTCACGGTATCGCTGTGCATTAAAATTGCCAATTGATAAAATGCAATTGTGTTCATTGTCCGTAGCTTATGCCTGCCAAAAACATAACCCCACCGCCAACATGGGGCACTGTTCAGAACGTTGACATCAGCAAACCACTCGCCCACACGACGCCATACACGCTGTCTGCCATCTGCCCGGTACAGTTGGAACAGGGCTTTTCCGTGAAGAGCACACTTCTCCAGCGTGCCAGTGGCCATCGAAGGTGAGCATTTGTCCACTGAAGTCGGTTACGACGCCGAACTGTAGTAGGGTCAAGAACCTGGTGAGGATGACAAGCACGCAGATGAGCTTCCCTGAGATGGTTTCTGACAGTTTGTGCAGAAATTATTTGGTTGTGCAAACCCACAGTTTCATCAGCTGTCCTGGTGGCTGGTCTCAGACGATCCCACAGGTGAAGAAGCCGGATGTGGAGGCCCTGGGCTGGCGTGATTACACGTAGTCTGCGGTTGTGAAGCCGGTTGAATGACGTTGGAGGCAGCTTTTGGTAGAGAAATTAACATTATATTATCTGACAACAGCTCTGGTGGACATTCTTGCAGTAAGCATGCCAATTGCACGCTCCCTCAAAACTTTAGATATCTGTGGCATTGTGTTGTGTGAGAAAACTGCATATTTTAGAGTGGCCTTTTATTGTCCCCACCACAAGGTGCACCTGTGTAATGATCAAGCTGTTTAATCAGCTTCTTGATATGCCACACCGGTCAGGTGGATGGATTATCTTGGCAAAGCAGAAATGCTCACAAACAGGAATGTAAACAAACGTGTGTACAAAATTTTTGAGAAATAAGCTTTTTGTGCATATGGAACATTTCTGGGATCTTTTATTTCAGCTCATGAAACATGAGACCAACACTTTACATGTTGCGTTTATATTTTTGTTCAGTGTGTGATGTGGCTGTCCATGCTAGTGATTTATGTGTGTGTGCGTGCTTGCAAGTAAAAAAAAAACAGAACCGAAACGGTCTATGAATCAGTCATACAGTAGCCTACACTCTCGTTTTTGTTGTCCTAGGCTACCTAGCTTAAATTGTTGCTCGCTAGCCTAACTTCCTTTCAGGGGCAACAATTAGCCAGCTAGTTAACATTAGCCTACTACATCAAGCTACATATTGAACTTCCGTCCTCTCAGGCAAGGGCCCAATGTATGAATTTATGGTTGGATCAGAATTAAGTAAAGTCCAAATCCCTATCTCCATCCAGGACTAATTTAGGAAAGAGTCCATTTTAGATAGCTAGCTAACCACCAGAGGTCAACAATACAACAATTGACGACAACTATTTTTCTGTCAATGACGTTTGGTTATTGTTGTGATGTGATTGGTGTGAAGCCAAATCCAAACTGGCTTCCCTTTAAACTTTTTTTTGGGTGTGCCAGGAGCATTCACAGTTGAGCTCGGTTAGTTTAGCTTAACGCTGATTGGCTATTATTGGATTTTTTTAAATATCAAGGGAGGCCAAATGCTCGCTGGCTTCCCTTGCATTCAATCGCAGCAACAATATCCTACTCTTTTTGACCAGACAGGATCAGATAGATGGGCTACACATACTGAGACAGAGGGGCACTGTTTCGCTCGCTCGGATGCTTTCTCCTGTGAGATACATTCAGCCTCTTGCGAATTGAAGGAAAGTTATGAAACACAGAGAGATGAAAGATCAAATAATTTATGCTTCTTTTTCTTGGAAGTTCTTTGGGGGAAGCCTGGCTTCCCTTGACATCCATGAATGCACACCACTGCTGCACCCTTATATGGCATGTCTTGAAATATGCAGACAGACAGATTAAAAAGCAAATTTAGATTGTAATACTTCAGACAGCCAACTTGCTAACTCCGCCAATAACTTTGACTTTATAGCATTCCCAGAAGGCGACTGTCAAATTTGTGAATTTGGTCTCGTATAATAAAGTGTGCTGGTTTTTCCAATGAGGGCTGGTGACATTCTGCTTTACCAAATCAGGAAATGCTGTGTTGACATTACAAATCAGGTAGCATGCTATGTTTCCCTAACATGACGACGTTAGGTCATGGAGCGTAAGCAGTAACCTTTTAGTAGAAGTGATTTAAAGTATGTTTTGGAGGATAGTATGTGAGTGGGCGACTATCTGAACCAGTAAGTGCTATAAAGCCATCAGAGCAGAGGAAGTACCTTAGGCAGGGATATGGGGAAGTCAGACTCACCATGACAAACAAGCAGGTCTTACCTTTCCACGACAGACCGCAAAGAAGCTACCCCCTTTAGAATTCGAGTCATTGACTTTGTCATAATAACCATCAATTATCTAGACAAAAGGGAAATGGGTGTGGGTTAAGTTAGCTTTGCTGTACTAAAGATAGCACAGGAGAAACATTTCCATGATGACTGTCATTTACTGCAACTCTGTCACGCAACTGCAGGTAGTGACAGAGTACATGCAGCGTTTAGCGTGGGACTGTCTGTAGCACTGACCTCCGTGAACGTCCCCTTTCCCCTAGGCTCCACAAACATGGGCTTTATGTTTTCAATGCGGTCGGCATGCCCGTTTGCCTGGGGACAAAGCAGGCATAGAAGAGCATGTTATTATATTAGGTAAGACCAGAGGACTCATCACAGGCTCAGCATTACTGTAATGAAGCAGGAGGATCCCCTACACCTATAAGGTCTTTAAATTATGATTTATCACACCGCTTGTCTTCCGCCGTCTAGGCAACATACACTGCTTTGGATCTGGTCCCATGCCTGCTCCAGGGTTGAATTTCTGCATTACTGTGATGTCATTGTCCAGACCTTCGTAATATAAAAGACCTTGCCCTACAGACACCTTGCATCCACGCAGTATGGGCTGAAGCAAACAACTGTTGCCATGTGCTGGTAACCATAGAAGTGTAGAGTCGGCTTCAGCACATACTGTATGGATACAAGGCTACCTCTACATCAGGCCTGGGGTCAATTCAATACAAACTCATTCGCAGCAGGAAATGGATTGATATTCAAATCCTAACCTGAAAAGTACTTTCATAGAAGAAAAAAAAGGGCAATTATCAACGTATGGGTGGAATTTCTAATAAGTTGCTGAATGGAGGGCGTTCAAATGGTGACAGCCTCTTTCCTGAGGGATCCCTGAGCTGCACTCACCCTCCAGAACTCCAGCGTCTTGTCCATCACGGGGTAAGAGGGGAAGAACACCAGCAAACCGTGAGGGACCACGCGGCCCAGATTCACTGCAGAAAGAAAAAGGTGAAAGAATGACAGTTAAGGTAATTTAGTAGAATGGGTTGTGTCCAGTATGTTTCTCGAGCCAATGCTATCTAGCATTAGAGCAATGGCTGGAAGTCTAGTGCAACTACCTTTAACTTCCTTCATACTGGACACAGAGACATACAAATGATATCCACGAGTTCATCTGACTCTGGGGAAGTAGATAAAAGGGCATCGTTGCCAAAATTCCGAAGTATCCCTTTAATATACCCCTCCCCGATAACAATTTGCCACTGGAGGTAATGCTCAAGGTCTTTGTATATCTCTGTAGAGTGATTTTCAAGGCATTTACACCAATGACATGAAACTTAGAGACACACATTATACAAGTTCTAAAAAATGTTTTTATTAATCTATTAAATACTTTTGTTCACTTTGGACCATTGAAAATAACAGATGGATATCTCTAAATCACCAAAACATCTCAATACTGGGACAAGTCAATTTGCTTACCCTAAGTACTTTAAACAATGCATATATTTACATTTTACATTTACATTTTAGTCATTTAGCAGACGCTCTTATCCAGAGCGATTTACAGTTAGTGAATGCATACATGTATTTTTTATTTATTTTTTTATACTGGCCCCCTGTGGGAAACGAACCCACATCCCTGCCGGCCAAACCCTCCCCTACCTTGGACGACGCTGGACCAATTGTGCGCCGCCCATGGGTCTCCCGGTCGCAGCCGGCTGCGACAGAGCCTGGACTCGAACCAGGATCTCTAGTGGCACAGCTAGCACTGCGATGCAGTGCCTTAGACCACTGCGCCACTCAGGAGTTATATAACGTTTTGCAGTATAAAAAGGACTTGCATTATGTTTTATCATTGATAAACATTGCAATATAAACAAAACAAAAACATGTATGATGTGTAACTATTTGTCACTTAACAGTGTTTTTCATGGTTGCATAGGCAAGGGACACAAATGCCACCGCAATTCAAGAACGACAAATTAATTTGTAGGATATGTTTGTCTTACCAACAGTGTTCCCTAAAGATGCCATGTTTTCAGGGACAAACCTTTGAAACAAATAGTGAATTTGTGTTAATTAAGCTAAAATTATATAATCATATATACAGTGCCTTCGGAAAGTATTCAGACCCCTTGAAATTTTCCACATTTTGTTACAGCCTTATTAAAAAAAATGAATTAAATAAATAAAAATCCTCTGCAATCTACACACAATACCCCATAATGACAAAGCAAATACAGGTTTTCAGAATTGTTGCAAATGTATTAAAATTTAAAAACCGGAAATACCTTATTTACATAAGTATTGAGACCCTTTGCTATGAGACTCGAAATTGAGCTCAGGTGGATCCTGTTTCCATTGATCATCCTTGAGATGTTTCTACAACTTGATTGGAGTACACCTGTGGTAAATTAAATTGATTGGACATGATTTGGAAAGGAACACAGATGAGGTCAAAGGGATTGTCTGTAGAGCTCCGAGACAGGATTGTGTCAAGGCACAGATCTGGGGAAGGGTCCCAAAATATTTCTGCAGCATTGAAGGTCCCCAAGAACACAGTGGCCTCCATCATTCTTAAATGGAAGAAGTTTGGAACCACCACGACTCTTCCTAGAGCTGGCCGCCCGGCCAAACTGAGCATTCGGGGGAGAAGGGCCTTGGTCAGGGAGGTGACCAAGAACCCGATGGTCACTCTGACAGAGCTCTAGAGTTCCTCTGTCGAGATGAGAGAACCTTCCATAAGGACAACCATCTCTGCAGCACTCCACCAATCAGGCCTTTATGGTAGAGTGGCCAGACGGAAGCCACTCCTCAGTAAAATGCACATGACAGCCCGCTTAGAGTTTGCCAAAAGGCACCTAAAGGACTCTCAGACCATGAGAAACAAGATTCTCTGGTCTGATGAAACCAAGATTGAACTCTTTGGCCTGAATGCCAAGTGTCACGTCTGGAGGAAACCTGGAACCATCCCTACGGTGAAGCATGGTGGTGGCAGCATCATGCCGTGGGGATGTTTTTCAGAGGCAGCGACTGGGAGACTAGTCAGGATCGAGGCAAAGATGAACGGAGCAAAGTACAGAGAGATCCTTGATGAAAACCTGCTGCAGAGCGCTCAGGACCTCCGACTGGGATGAAGGTTCGCCTTCCAACAGGACAACAACCCTAAGCACACAGCCAATACCACGCAGGAGTGGCTTCGGGACAAGTCTCTGAATGTCCTTGAGTGCCCAGCCAGAGCCCCGACTTGAACCCGATCGAACATCTCTGGAGAGACCTGAAAATAGCTGTGCAGTGACACTCCCCATCCAACCTGAAAGAGCTTGAGTGGATCTGCAGAGAAGAATAAGAGAAGCTCCCCAAATACAGGTGTGCCAAGCTTGTAATGTCATACCCAAGAATACTTGATGCTGTAATGGGGCTTCAACAAAGTACTGAGTAAAGGGTCTGAATACTTATGTAAATGTGATAAACCTGTTTTTGCTTTGTCATTATGGGGTATTGTGTGTAGATTGATGAGGGGAAAAAACAATTTAATCAATTTTAGAATAAGGCTGTAATGTAATGAAATGTGGAAAAAGTCAAGGGGTCTGAATACTTTCCGAAGGCACTGTATATCACCCCAGAGAGGGTAGTCACAGCGGTGGAGGTGCCCACCTGCGGTCAAACGCTGAACTGAGCTGCACGCTGTCTGGACCGCGGTCGATTATGCTGACAAAGATCTGATCATGCTGAATCACATGGGGGTTCTCCAGGCATACTGGAAAGGGACTGTGGGGGCAAGAGGTCAGGAGAAGAAGTGAAACCCAAAAAAGGAAACCCCAGTCAGTAGAAAACACCAAAAACAGAACTGTCTCTATATGGTCTGGACAAGTCCGCTATATGACCAACATGTGAATGTCATCACACCTTTTACACCAGCACTTTAGGTGATGAACAAAGTTTATGGCTAATTTCATGTTGTAGCTTTTTCCCCTCTGTGTGTGTGTGTGTGTGGTTGACAGATGACTCACAGTCGGAGACGATGACACACACTCACATTTGCATTTCGGACGTGAACGAGGACAGAGGGGCGAGTGTACCGCTGGTAAGGATGATGCTGCGCACGCCCTGTCTCACCAGCTCCTGCATGCTGAATCCAGGCGAGAAGCACCAGTAACTCAGAACATTTCCTGGAATACACCACCAGAAAACATTACATCAACAATGGTTACCCAAAATCATAAAACACCATGGTACATCATTCAACCTGGGAACTCGGTCCAAACATTTACATTTTAGTCATTTAGCAGACGCTCTTATCCAGAGCGACTTACAGTTAGTGAGTGCATACATTATTTTAAAAAATCATACTGGCCCCCCGTGGGAATCGAACCCAAAACCCTGGCGTTGCAAACGCCATGCTCAACCAACTGAGTTACATCCCTGCCGGCCATTCCCTCCCTTACCCTGGGCCAATTGTGCGCCGCCCCATGGGTCTCCCGGTCGCGGCCGGCTACGACAGAGCCTGGATTCGAACCAGGATCTCTAGTGGCACAGCTAGCACTGCAATGCAGTGCCTTAGACCACTGCGCCACTCGCAAACATGAGCGCAGATGTCCATAAATCTGTCTAACTTGGTTGCCTGCAAACAACAGATTATTTTGGTTGGAGAATGGCCAAGCAAGTGACCGATTTATTCAGATTTTCTTCAACGAGGAGAGCAGTGGACTGCTATTTGACGTAGCTCAAACTCAGTGCTTAAAGCTATATAATGTACCGGGATCTCAATCTCAACCTGCAAGACAAATGCCTTTATTCACAAATCATCTCAGAGCAGGAGTGCTGATCACTGAGACGCTTGGTACATACAGCCCCAGGTCCCCCTGTCCATATCATCTTATTCATTATGATCTAAAAGGCCAAACTGATACTAAAATCAGCACTCCTACACTGACACACTTTGTGAATACAGAATGAGATCTCAATGCTTAAAACACACTCATGAAACAACATGTTTCCATTAGATACAGTGCCTTCTAGGGTTGGGCAATGTCTGGAACGACACATCATCCCATTGCCCTGTCTAAACATCGTTGCTACACGATTGTATGAGCTATTTATTTTTTTACCTGGGACAGGGGAAAGCAGGTCATTGCGTTGCCTAGCAATGCTATAAACAAACTGTAATGCAGCCTGTGTCATGCACAAAACACCAATTAAAGTCTATTCAGACTATAATGTGGAAATCATCTTACCAATATTGTATTTTCTTGTGTGCAAATAAATAAATATGAACCAATCATATGGTGATATGTGGTACCGATAACTGAATGGTGATTTGGAACCAAACGTTGTGTGATACGAGACCCTTTCAATGGTGATTTCGGACAATTTAAACTGAGATTGAGTGCGCTTGTTCACCATAGAAGACATCACTGGGCAGTCTTCTTGGGAGAGCTAATTAGCTTAATTTGTAGCCTATCCAAATGTGGGATATTATTTTTATAGGCAACATTAATTTTTTGTTCCCCGTTATCAAAAGTACTACTGTGGGAGCTTATGTAAAGCCCGTTGCGCAATTCAAGGATTTGAATAAACACTTCCACAATCATATACATATCTGTTTAGAAGTTTAACTTGTACAAGTAACGTTTACTGCAAATGTTACTGAATTAAATTTGTATTTAGTGTAGGCCTATATTATTGGCTGTTTGGTTAGCAAGGATTTTCCTGCGGCACACAACTTTTTTTTCCTAAAGCTTTGGTCAGGTGGAGGCCAGAAACTTATAAGGTTTGTTTAAACTTCCCATTTGATTTTTCTATCTTGCAATTGTTGGTTCTCTCTCTCATTATTACCATATCATGTTTTTATTTAGGCTATTCACAAACATAACGTTCTGAGAAAGAACTCTGTTACTGGCCTCCTAGATTCATTTGAAAGTTGATCATGAAAGATATGCTTAGACCAACAAGTCACATTCAAATAAAGTGAGGATTGGGACAAAATGGGAAATTAAGCTTTAAAACAAGCCAGACAAAGGATTGTCTGCTGCAAAAGGCCCATGATCATCCGACATTGGAGAGGTGAGCGAGAGAAAGGTTATCTGACATTTTGCGCAGATTTTGGCACTCTCTGCTCCGTCTACAATCTACATTGATTAAAGGCCTACTCTTGCATTATGTTAATAAACTCAGCAAAAAAAGAAACGTCCTCTCACTGTCAACTGCGTTTATTTTCAGCAAACTTAACATGTGTAAATATTTGTGTGAACATAACAAGATTCAACAACAGACATAAACTGAACAAGTTCCACAGACATGTGACTAACAGAAATTGAATAATGTGTCCCTGAACAAAGTGGGGGTCAAAATCAAAAGTAACAGTCAGTATCTGGTGTGGCCACCAGCTGCATTAAGTACTGCAGTGCATCTCCTCCTCATGGACTGCACCAGATTTGCCAGTTCTTGCTGTGAGATGTTACCCCTCTCTTTCACCAAGGCACCTGCAAGTTCCTGGACATTTCTGGGGGGGAATGGCCCTAGCCCTCACCCTCCGATCCAACAGGTCCCAGACGTGCTCAATGGGATTGAGATCCGGCCTCTTCGCTGGCCATGGCAGAACACTGACATTCCTGTCTTGCAGGAAATCACGCACAGAACGAGCAGTATGGCTGGTGGCATTGTCATGCTGGAGGGTCAGGTCAGGATGAGCGAATTCGACCATCACCCCTGGTGAGACAAAACCGCGACTCGTCAGTGAAGAGCACTTTTTGCCAGTCCTGTCTGGTCCAGCGACGGTGGGTTTGTGCCCATAGGCGACGTTGTTGCCGGTGATGTCTGGTGAGGATCTGCCTTACAACAGGCCTACAAGCCCTCAGTCCAGCCTCTCTCAGCCTATTGCGGACAGTCTGAGCACTGATGGAGGGATTGTGCGTTCCTGGTGTAACTCGGGCAGTTGTTGTTGCCATCCTGTACCTGTCCCATAGGTGTGATGTTCGGATGTACCGATCCTGTGCAGGTGTTGTTACACATGGTCTGACACTGCGAGGATGATCAGCTGTCCGTCCTGTCTCCCTGTAGTGCTGTCTTAGGCGTCTCACAGTACGGACATTGCAATTTATTGCCCTGGCCACATCTGCAGTCCTCATGCCTCCTTGCAGCATGCCTAAGGCACGTTCACGCAGATGAGCAGGGACCCTGGGTATCTTTCTTTTGGTGTTTTTCATAGTCAGTAGAAAGGCCTCTTTAGTGTCCTAAGTTTTCATAACTGTGACCTTAATTGCCTACCGTCTGTAAGCTGTTAGTGTCTCAACGACCGTTCCACAGGTGCATGTTCATTAATTGTTTATGGTTCATTGAACAACATTTACATCATTTAGCAGACGCTCTTATCCAGAGCGACTTACAAATGGGTGCATTGAACTTATGATAGCCAGTGGGACAGCTCAATTTCGAGTCTCATAGCAAAGGGTCTGAATACATAAGGTATTTCTGTTTTTTATTTATTTGCAAACATTTCTAAATACCTGTTTTCGTTTTGTCATTATGGGGTATTGTGTGTAGATTGCTGAGGATTTTTATTTATTTAATCAATTTTAGAATAAGGCTGTAACGTATCCAAATGTGGAATAAGTCAAGGGGTCTGAATACTTTCCGAAGGTACTGTATATACTGTACTCCTAGGGAGTATTAACCCATTTGTCTAGGCAACTTGAGATCTGTGTTCATAGAGTTACTGTTGGATCCATTTATGAAAAAGCCTATGTTTATTATTTTGAAAAGAAAAAAGGATATGTATATGAAAATACTTACCTTTATGTTTGAAGAAATGTCCTTTATTATAAAAACAATATCTACCTGTGGTGGTCAGTGCCGTTTCAGATGAGGGATGACAATAATTGTGTTTTTTTATGAGCATGGCCTTATTTCTATTACAGCATATTGGATGACTGTCATTCATATTCCATTCACCCAGCTCAATGTAATGTCGATAGGTTTGGGCTACTACATGATATTTGAATTTTCCCTATACCCATCATGAGGTTGCTACAACCTAGCCTATGAATGAAAGTTTACAACGTAGGTGCACAGGTCCAGAGAAATGTGAGTAATCAAGTTGACAGACAGTGACACATTCAATACTGCCTTGCACACTCTTGCCTGCATCTAGCTGATCTAGGGTGTAATCATTAGTCAAATCATTAGAGTTTCTATTGGAAAAATTAAGTTATGTTTATTGCAGTTTCGTTCCGTTTGCTTCCATTTAAGAAAAGTTTTTCTACAGAATCAGTGGAATGAATACACCCCTGATCACACGCAAAGACAAGTTCACTTTGATAGCAAAGAGCATGATCACTTTGCTCGTTGTAATTCCTTCTCATTGTAATCTTCCGCTCACCTTTTCCCTTCGCTTGTGGACTTCAGTGCACAACACATCAGCTGTCTGTGACCAGGCGAAAAAACCTTTCCAAGCCAAACCTTCATATCATAACCGCTACACACAGCCTACATCGTTGTCACCATATTAGCTAGCTAACGTCATAGTCAACATAGCTAATAGAACTGACGCATTAGTAAACCCGCTACAATCATGCAGTACAGTGTACAGTCAGCAAACAGTTTAGCATTTATACCGGCGGGCCCCAGTGGCAATATATTAAGAAAACCAAAAACTTCGCTTGACTTGGAAGAGTTCCAGTTTTGCATAGCCATAGCCAGCTAGCTAACATAGCATCCCTCTCTGAGCCAGGTGTTTGAGTAGGCTAAACTAGCTAGCTGTATTCGCTAAGTATGAAAATGTATGCACTTACTACTCGCTCTGGATAACAGCGTCTGCTAAATGACAAATGTAAAATGTCAAGTGAGTAACCTTTCTTTGGAAATCACGTGGTAACCCGTCCCCGGTTTGAAATGGCTATAGAAGTTTTGATTTTGACACAAGTCACTACAGTTACAACAGAGTCCTCAAATGAAAGACTGACACGGACTGTTACCTTGTTTTTTGGAGGAAGATGAAGACCACACGTCAGTATTTTGTTTTTTCTTATGATGGCTGGTGTCTTTATGGATATGGACCTGTGACAGTGGACATGTGCCAAAACAGTATTAAAACCATGGTTCAAATGTACAATTCTGATTGACATTGGTATTTCCAGATACAGATGTGGTAGTGACTCCAGTGCCTATTACACACCTTAAATTTAGTGGTGGTGGATTGCATGTTGGGCGGCATGTTTGCACATTTGTTGCCCTCTTGTGTATCAACGCAGAACACCAGCTAGTGAGAGAAAATATGAAAAGAAGAGAAAGATAAGAAAATACATGACACAGTATTGCACATTGGACATAAATTGATAGATTTTTAAAACAAGGACATTGTTCCTGATCTAATGCAGTGATTTTGCTTTATTTCAATCACATCTCCCTTATCTAATTCCTCTCTATCATCCCCTTCTTCTTTCTTTCTTCTCCTGATCATGTTTCTTTTTTTCCCTCTTTCCCATCTGTAGGACAGGAAACCCTCTGAAAATCAATAGGTCTGAGAAGTGCTCAACATCTTTCAATTCCAATGTATTGTTGTTACATCTGCACATTTAGTATACAAATGTTATAAAAATACATACATTAAGTATTTTTAAGGGAAAAATAATGCTTTAAAAGTGCACCAAACCTGAATTATATCTGCCAATTTCTGTAATCCAGTTGTGTTCATGAATATGCCTGGTTCTGTTAAAATAAATAAACACAGATAGTTAGTGATGGCGATGATACTATGTTCAGACAGTCAGCATTCGAATGACAATGTAAGGTACTAGAAAAGGCAGTGAAAAGCAAATAATGGAAAGCGCAACTTGAATCCTAATATGACAATGACTCAGGACTTGAGACAAGCGGACATACAGTAGCTCAATAATGTTTTAGACATTTTAATTTTCATTGAATGAGCTTTCAAAATTTTAGATTTGAATTTGATATCACATCAAGAATGGCTGAATAAAGGGGGAGCCATATGAATAGACAGACTCACTTCCAGCCAGATATCCAGTGATCTGCTCCAGGGCTTCAAAGATGGGCGTCTTTGTGTCGAATGTGAGGTGAGCCTTCTGGAACAACTCGTAGATGAAGCTGAGAGGGATGTTTTAAAGTGTACAAAATGTGGATGAGTGCTTTATACAGTGCCTTCAGAAAGTATTCATACACCTTGACTTATTCCACATTTTGTTGTGTTACAGCCTGAATTCTATATGGATAAAAAAAATTAAAAAATTCCCCTCACCCATCTACACCCAATAACCCATAATGACAAAGTGAAAACATGTTTTAAGAAATGTTTGCAAATCTATTGAAAAAGAAATACAGAAATATCCATTTACATAAGTATTCACACACTTGAGTCAATACATGTCAGAATCACCTTTGACAGAGATTACAGCTGGGAGTCTTTCTGGGTAAGTCTAAGAGCTTTGCACAACTGGATTGTACAATATTTGCAATTTCTTTAAAATATTCATCAAGCTCTGTCAAGTTGGTTGTTGATAATTGCTAGACAACCATTTTCAAGTCTTGCCATATATTTTCAAGCAGATTTAAGTCAAAACTGTAACTAGGCCACTCAGGAACATTCAATGTCGTCTTGGTAAGCAACTCCAGTGTATATTTGGCCTTGTGTTTTAGGTTTTAGTGCTCCTGAAAAGGTGAATATCTCCCAGTGTCTGTTGGAAAGGACACTGAACCAGGTCTTCCTCTAGGATTTTGCCTGCGCTTAGTCTATTTAGTTTATTTTAAAAAACCTGACTTAGTCATTGCCGATGACAAGCATACCTATAACATGATGCAGCCACCACCATGCTTGGAAATATGAAGAGGGGTACTCAGTTATGAGTTGTGTTGGATTTGCCCCAAACATTACGCTTTGTATTCAGGACATGAAGTTCATTTCTTTGCCACATTTGCAGTTTTACTTTAGTGCCTTATTGTAAACAGGATGCATGTTTTAGAACATTCTGTACAGGCTTAGTTATTTTCAATCTGTTATTTAGGTTAGTATTGTGGAGTATCTACAATGTTGTTGATCCATCCTTAGTTTTGTCCTATCACAGCCATTAAAATCAGTCACTTTTTTAAAGTCACCATTGGCTCATGGTGAAATCACTGAGTAGTTTCCTTCATTCCGGCAAATTAGTTATGAAGGACGCCTGTATCTTTGTAGTGACTGGGTGTATTAATACAACATCCAAAGTGTAATTAATAACTTCACCATGCTCAAAAGGGATATTCAATGTCTGCTTTTTTTTTTACCCATCTACCAATAGGTGCCCTTCTTTGAGAGGCATGTGGTTGAATCTATGTTTGAAATTCACTGCTCGACTGAGGGAACTTACAGATAATTGTTCAGTGCATTGGGAAAGTATTCAGACCACTTGACTTTTTCCACTTTGTTACGTTACAGCCTTATTCTAAAACGGATTAAATAGTTTTTATCCCTCAATCTACACACAATACCTCATAATGACAAAGCCAAAACAGGTTTAGACATTTTAGCACATATATAAAAAATAAAACTGAAATATTACATTTACATAAGTATTCAGACCCTCTACTCTGTGTGCCTTTCCAAATCATGTCCAATCATTTGAATTTACCACAGGTGGACTCCAATGAAGTTGTAGAAACATCTCAAGGATGATCAATGGAAACAGGATGCACCGGAGCTCAATTTCGAGTCTCATAGCAAAGGGTCTGAATACTTATGTAAATAAGGTATCTGTTTTTTATACGTTCGCAAAAATTTATAAAAACCTGTTTTCACTTTGTCATTATGGGGTATTGTGGGTAGATGGATTAAATAAAACATTTCCTCATCAATTTTAGAATAATGCTGTAACGTAACAAAATGTGGAAAAAGTCAAGGGGTCGGAATACTTTCCGAATGCACTGTATTTAGGCTTGCCATAACAAAGGGGTTGAATACTTATTGACTCAAGACATTTCAGCTTTAACTTTTAAACATAATTCCACTTTGACATTATGGGGTGTAGGCCAGTGACACAACATCTCAATTTAATCAATTTTAAATTCAGGCTGTAACACAACAAAATGTGGAAAAAGTGAAGGGGTGTGAATACTTTCTGAAGGCACTGTAAATGCAAGCATGGTGCTTTGAAGGGCATTACAAAAAATACACTAATGTGCATGAAGTGTAAATGTGCTTTATCCTTCATTACCTTTGGGGATGACAGCAGTAAACAAATGCATAGCCTGTCAAGAGCTTTTGAAATGCTTGCATGCCTGCATGGTGCTATGAGGGGAGTTCCAAAATAAATGCACTGACTTTATCCTTAATTCTCTTTTGGGTGGTGATGACAGCCATAAGCAAAAACATCTCAATATTAATATCAAGTATACCCTCTGTAAAACCCAGAAGAACACACCTCCCAGGTTTGGTGATCCCCTTCTCCGGCACGTCGTAGGAATCAATGGCCGCCTCCAGATCCAGAAGTATCTCTGCAAAACCATTTATGTAAGAAGGGAGTTAAAGAGTTGTGCAGTGCAATCTCTAAGAGATTACACATTTAAACCATCAGACGCATTCATTGGTGAAATCCCATGCTTCTTAACGTGGCAATCAGCAGTAGAAACAACAACAAAGCAGGCTCCCTGCCCTGGTTTGGTAAAATGCTGAGGGATTGGGCTGGAGAAATTTAAGCACTCTCAAATTCATAGAGCTATGGATGCAAGGACTGACCATCCATATCAAAGTTATAATTTTAACCATGTGTTGAAGCTATATAGTGTTTGTTGAAATGTTTCGATTACAAACATCGACATAAAACAAGCTTATATTTTGGGTTCTGATGGGTACGACAGTTGAACTAAGCTCATGAGGCATTTATAAGTAAAATTCTTCATGAATCAATGGGTGCATATCATTAATTTATAAGTCCAAAAATGGATGTAACAACTGCTGATTGCCCCTTTAAAGATAGGAGTGTATGAGGGTTGCATGACAAACATTAAGATAAAATAACTTACGTTTTATTTTAGCAATGGTGGTTATGTCCAATTTCAAACCTGGAATGAAAGTCGTTAAAAGGTGGCACTTTCAAATAAAGAAAAAAACCGTTTCCGTTTCAAATTCAACAATGTAGTCAACATTTCGTCATAACAAAACAATTCATAGGCCTCTCAAACAATGGAACCAGGAGGACACTACTTCAAACATTTCTGCATATGAATACGACACGGGGGAGGGAAATGGCTTGGAAATCATGAATGTTTGTCCTTACAATGAGTTTCCAAATTGTGTGGACAATAATGTAGAACTATTATTCTGACCCCCGTTTATGGATTCCATATTGAAGTCCTCCGAGACGTCTCCTCTCCCGGCGTCTCTGGCCTGCTCCGCTAGCAGCTTGTCCACAGCATCGATGGCTGATGCCAGGTCGTAGGGTGTGAGGTCAAAGGATGTGGACTCCTCACACATCTTCTCCTGTGGGCATTTTCAGTGGTCAGAGCACTCAGAGGCAATATTTACAGTAGTTCGTGTTCATAAGGGTACGCAACGGAAACAGTTTCATATGTTTTGCGAACAGAAAACGAAAAGGAGCACTTTGTATTCGAATCATCCAGGTAGTCCATCACTGTTTCTGTCAGTTTTCTTCCGTTTAGTGCCTAATGGATATTTTCCTGTTCATGAGTTTTGCACAAAGTGCTAAAGACCCGAAAAATTGTCTGGTACTACCTGGTAATGGAGGAACCATAATCCGCCATACTCAAACCTTTCTTATGGAGGCATATATCAGGGTGTCGGTGAGCCTTTTCTGCAGTGGACCACAAACTGCTCAGCAACCTCTACCTATACAGAGAAGCTTGTATACTGCCTTGTTGTATACTGCCAGCCAGCCTCCCAGGGAAGTGCTTCTTCAGTACATGTCATGATGCCATGCTCATGTATGATACACTATATATACCGTAATTTTCGGACTATAAGCCGCGCCTTTTTTCCCATTTTTCGACTCTGCGGCTTATATAACGGTGCGGCTAATCTATGGATTTTTACAGCTAACGGCCACTAGAAGACCTCCTAAATCTATGGATTTTACAGGTTACAGTCCACCAACTTTAACTCTATGGGCTCTATGACCGATCCGCGCCCCCCACCTTTAAGCGGCGGGCTCCAGCAGGAAAAGCTGGAGGCCGGAAAAGAGTGAGAGCGCGCAAAAGTAAAAGTGGAACCGAGAGTGGTACGAGAGACAGAACGAGACAGAACGAGAGCAAGACCGACAGACATTACGAGAGTGAGACAGTTTGTGCAAAGGAAGTTTTCATGCACAAACCCTCATTATGGAAAACAAACGTAGAAATGCATATGATGCAGCTTTTAAGTTAAAGGCAGTCAATATGGCTGTCAAAACATCCACGATCATTAACGGGTTCCGAAAGGCTGGACTGCTGCGTGATGAAGAGGAGAACGCCGCCACAGCTGAGGCCCTTCAGAGGCTGTTCGATTCCGACAGTGACGAAGAGGAGTTCGTTGGTTTTGAGAGCGACAATGAAGGAGAGAGGAGAGTGGCTGACGAAGCCACCCTGAGCCTGTTCGTTTCCAACACTGAAGATGAGGACTTTGGTGGTTTTAGTACGCAGGAAGAAGACGGAGATGAGGATTAATGACTTGACTTTTCTGGTTACAGCCGTGTACTGCACCTTAGCCTAAAAGATGAAGACGAGGATTAATGACTTTTCTGGTAGGCTGATTACCGTATATTTTAAGCAGCCGTGTTGCTGCAACTTTAGGCTTACGCGCTTACTGTCGTGTTACAGGCACTTTATTTTGCACTTTCAAAAAAACACATTTAATTTAGCCATTGATATTGCCTCGTCAAGCGCTGTAAGCTTTGTTTTTTGTTATGGTACTACTGTAGGCTATAATGTAGATACATATTCAAAGATGTGCACACTTTTTCAAGGTTTTTCAAAAATAACCAAAGTTAAGTGGTTAAATGATTGTGACGCTATTAACTAATTTTGCTGGGGAACCCCTAGCACTCCCTCAAGGACCACTGGTTGAAAACCACTGCTGTAGATCACTGCCGGTATGTGCGCTGGAAGCGCACCGTTTAAGTTTGAAAGTTGAAAAGTTTGTGTGTCTGAAACGCTGTGTGATACAGTACAGTTTACACAGCACAGTATATGTTCTGTAGCTACTATTGCACTAAATGGTAACACTTGAATACGTTATGCAAATATGCAACTTGTTTGTTGAAATGTTAATAAATGGGAGCTTCCTCAAGCAGCCATCTCTTTCCCTACAATCCCCTCTGTGCACGAACCCTTACATATGGTAATTAAACATTAAAACACCTGCGGCTTATAGTCCAGTGCGGCTTATATATGTACACATCATTCAATATCATTCAATTTAGCTGCTGCGGCTTATACTCCGGTGCGCCTTATAGTGCGGAAAATACGGTACACAAAAGTATGTGGACACCCCTTCAAATTTGTGGATCCAGCTATTTCAGCCACACCCGTTGCTGACAGGTGTATAAAATCGAGCACACAGCCATGCAATCTATATAGACAAACATTGGCAGTAGAATGGCCTTACTGAAAAGCTCAGTGACTTTCAACGTGCCACAGTCATGGGATGCCTCCTTTCCAACAAGTCAGTTCGTCAACTTTCTGCCCTGCTAGAGCTGCCCTGGTCAACTGTAAGTGCTGTTATTGTGAAGTGGAACCGTCTAGGAGCAACAACGGCACAGCCTCGAAGTAGTAGGCCACACAAGGTCACAGAACGGGACCGTATGGCAACAGTTTGGGGAAGGCCCTTTCCTATTTCAGCATGATAAATGCCCCTGTGCAAAAAGCGAGGTCCATACAGAAATGATTTGTAGAGATCGGTGGGGAGGAACTTGACTGGCCTGCACAGAGCCCTGACCTCAACCCCATCGAACACCTTTCGGATGAATTGGAACGCCAAATGTGAGCCAGGCCTAATCGCCCAACATCAGTGCCTGACCTCATTATTGCCCGTGGCTGAATGAAAGCAAGTCCCCGCAGCAATGTTCCAACATCTAGTGGAAAGCCTTGCCAGAAGAGTGGAGGCTATTATAGCAGCAAAGGGGGGACCAACTCCTTATTAATGCCCATGATTTTGGAATGAGATGTTCGACGAGCAGGTGTCCACATACTTTTGGTAATGTAGTGCATACAGTGCAATCGGAAAGTATTCAGACCCCTTGACTTTTATTCACATTTTGTTACGTATCAGCCTTATTCTAAAACGGATTAACTTGTTTTTTCCCCCTCATCAATCTACACACAATACCCCATAATGGCAAAGCAAAAACAGGTTTTTAGAAATTTTTGCAAATGTATTACAAATAAAAAACTGAAATCTCACATTTACATAAGTTTTCATACCCTTTACTCAGTACTTTGTTGAAGCACCTTTGGCAGCGATTACAGCCTCGAGTCTTCTTGGGTATGACGCTACAAGCTTGGAACACCTGTATTTTGAGTGTTTCTCCCATTCTTCTCTGCAAATCCTCTTAAGCTCCGTCAGGTTGGATGGGGAACATCGCTGCACAGCTATTTTCAGGTCTCTCCAGAGATGTTCGATCGGGTTCAAGTCCGGGCTCTGGCTGGGCCACTCAAGGACATTCAAAGAATGGTCCCGAAGCCACTCCTGCATTGTCTTGGCTGTGTGCTTAGGGTCGTTGTCCTGTTGGAAGGTGAACCTTCGCCCCAGTCTGAAATCCTGAGCGCTCTGGAGCAGGTTTTCATCAAGGATCTCTCGGTACTTTGCTCTGTTCGTCTATCCCTTGATCCTGACTAGTCTCCCAGTCCCTGCCACTGAAAAACATCCCCACAGCATAATGCTGCCACCACCATGCTTCACCGTAGGGATGGTGCCAAGTCTCCTCCAGACGTGACGCTTAGCATTCAAGCCAAAGAGTTCAATCTTGGTTTCATCAGACCAGAGAATCTTGTTTCTCATGGTCTGAGAGTTCTTTAGGTGCCTTTTGGCAAACTCCAAACGGGCTGTCATGTGCCTTTTACTGAGGAGTGGCTTCAGTCTGGCCACTCTACCATAAAGGCCTGATTGGTGGAGTGCTGCAGAGATGGTTGTCCTTCTGGAAGGTTATCCCATCTCCAAAGAGGAACTCTGGAGCTCTGTCAGAGTGACCATCGGGCTCTTGGTCACCTCCCTGACCAAGGCCATTCTCTCCAGATTGCTCAGTTTGGCTGGGCGGCCAGCTCTAGTTAGAGTCGTTGTGGTTCCAAACGTATTCCATTTAGGACTGATGGAGGCCACTGTGTTCTTGGGGACCTTCAATGCTGCAGACATTTTTTGGTACCCTTCCCCAGATCTGTGCCTTCGACACAATCCTGTCTCGAAGCTCTACGGACAATTCCTTTGACGTCATGGCTTGGTTTTTGCTCTGACATGCACTGTCAACTGTGGGACCGTATATAGACAGGTGTGTGCCTTTCGAAATCATGTCCAATCAATTTAATTTAACACAGGTGGACTCCAATCAAGTTGTAGAAACATCAAGGATGATCAATGGAAACAGGATGCACCTTAACTCAATTTCGAGGCTCATAGCAAAGGGTCTGAATACTTACCGAAATAAGGTATCCGTTATAAAAAAAAGATTTACAAATTGGTTTCGCTTTGTCATTATGGGTTATTGTGTGTTGATTGATGAGGAAAATGGTTTTATTTAATCCATTTTAGAATAAAGCTGTAACGTAACAAAATGTGGAAAAAGGGGTCCGAATACATTTACATTTTAGTCATTTAGCAGACGCTCTTATCCAGAGCGACTTACAGTTAGTGAGTGCATACATTTTTCATACTGGCCCCCCGTGGGAAACGAACCCACAACCCTGGCGTTGCAAGCACCATGCTCTACCAACTGAGCTACACGGGGCCATTCAGAATACTTTCCGAATGCGCTGTATAGTACTGCAGTAGCCCATCAGAGTTGGAGGGAAGCTGAAGAGACAACAGCCAGCCACTTGGCAGCCTTCCAGATTGTTCTCAAAGTAGTAATTACTTCAAACTCCTGGATGGGGCGGTGGGGTTGGAGGAGGATACAGAGAGAGACAGGAGGCTGCCACTGAAAGCAAACAATGTGTGCCTTAAATGAAAATGGAGATATAAGAAATAAATCAACTTGGTTGGTTCTTGTTTTTTCTTCCTTCCTATAAATGTTTTATTGAAGTTGGGGCTTGGGGGGATTAGGGTTGGCAGTGTAGACACACGATGGATGCAGATGCAGATCTCCATAATTTGGCTTAGTCATGCTCGTGCTGTGCAGTTTCTGTCTGACAATCATTTAATGGGTGCTCTTTAGTTTCACAAAAACAGACTACAGCTACTGTCGCTGATGCCTTACTGAAATACATATAGCTCTACTCTCTCCACACAGTCATAAACAATAGTTGTAAAGGAAAGCCAACAGTGTGAAGAGTGCTACGCCTCACTGCAATCCCCTGAAGGAAACTACTGCTGACTCATAATGATGATAATGGAAGTTTTTCCTCACAGGGGAGAAGCCAAATCAGGGCCACGTTCAGTAGGCAAACATTGTGGATAGAAATGTACTATGTTGGGCCTCCCGAGTAGCGCAGACCCAGGTTCGATCCCGGGCTGTATCACAACCGGTCGTGATCGGGAGCCCCATAGGGCGGCGCACAATTGGCCCAGCGTCGTCCGGGTTAGGGGAGGGTTTGGCCGGGGGGCTTTACTTGGCTCATCGCGCTCTAGCGACTCCTTGTGGCGGGTCGGGCGCATTCAGGCTGACCTATGTCGTCAGGTGAACAGTGTTTCCTCCGACACATTGGTGCGGCTGGCTTCCGGGTTAAGCAGGCGGGTGTTAAGAAGCGCGGTTTGGCGGGTCATGTTTCGGAGGACGCATGACTTGACCTTCGCCTCCCGAGCCCGTTGGGGAGTTGCAGCGATGAGGCAAGATCGAAATTGGTGAGAAAAAAAAAAAAAAGAGGGTAAAATAAATCAAAACAAATCAAATGTACTATGCATAACAAATATGCTTCTCTGACTGACATGTAGAATAAGGAATCATAAGAACTCTATTCATGACATTTCTTTCTGCCACGTTCCACAATGTTATAGTGCTGTGCGACGTTTGTTCTTGGTAGCCATGAGGAGTCGGTTTTGGAGCATATGACTCCTGGGTTATTATTGCAAAGTCAGGGGCTCGTATTAGTGCCAGGAGGCTGGGCGGCAGCAGCCTTGCGTGACTCGCACCTCGCCTCCCCATGTTCTATTCCGTCCCCCACTCCGATCTGGTTGCCGTCTAAAAAGGCAGGCAGGGAGGGAACACTGACTGCAGTGCGGTGTGTGTGTGATCAGGCAGTGGCCAGATTGCATAACACCCAGAGGAGAGCAGGTTGTTCTCAGGCTCTCTCACGGAAGGCTGCCACACTGGATCTGGCTGGAGGGGCTTTAATAGGATATACCAGGATACAGTGCCTTGCAAAAGTATTCATCCCCCTTGGCGTTTTTCCTATTTTGTTGCATTACAACCTGTAATTTAAATGGATTTTTATTTGGATTTCATGTAATGGACACACACAAAATAGTCCAAATTGGTGAAGTGAAATTAAAAAAATTACTTGTTTCAAAAAAGTATACAAAATAAATAACGGAAAAGTGGTGCGTGCATATGTATTCATCCCCTTTGCTATGAAGCCCCTAAATAAGATCTGGTGCAACCAATTACCTTCAGAAGTTACATAATTAGTTAAATAAAGTCCACCTGTGTGCAATCTAAGTGTCACATGATCTGTCACACGATCTCAGTATATATACACACACCTGTTCTGAAAGGCCCCAGTGTCTGCAACACCACTAAGCAAGGGGCACCACCAAGCAAGTGGCACCATGAAGACCAAGGAGCTCTCCAAACAGGTCAGGGACAAAGTTGTGGAGAAGTACAGATCAGGGTTGGGTTATAAAAAATTATCAGAAACTTTGAACATCCCACAGAGCACCATTAAATCCATTATTAAAAAATGTAAAGAATATGGCACTACAACAAACCTGCCAAGAGAGGGCCGCCCACCAAAACGCACAGACCAGGCAAGGAGGGCATTAATCAGAGAGGCAACAAAGAGACCAAAGATAACCCTGAAGGAGCTGCAAAGCTCCACAGCGGAGATTGGAGTATCTGTCCATAGGACCACTTTAAGCCGTACACTCCACAGAGCTGGGCTTTACAGAAGAGTGGCCAGAAAAAAGCAATTTCTTAAAGAAAAAAAAATAAGCAAACACGGTTGGTGTTCGCCAAAAGGCATGTGGGAGACTCCCCAAACATATGGAAGAAGGTACTATGGTCAAATGAGACTAGAATTGAGCTTTTTGGCCATAAAGGAAAATGCTATGTCTGGCGCAAACCCAACACCTCTCATCACCCCGAGAACACCATCCCCACAGTGAAGCATGGTGGTGGCATCGTCATGCTGTGGGGATGTTTTTCATCATCAGGGACTGGGAAACTGGTCAGAATTGAAGAAATGATGGATGACGCCAAATACCGGGAAATTATTAAGGGAAACCTGTTTCAGTCTTCCAGAGATTTGAGACTGGGACGGAGGTTCACCTTCCAGCAGGACAATGACCCTAAGCACACTACTAAAGCAACACTCGAGTGGTTTAAGGGGAAACATTTAATGTCTTGGAATGGCCTAGTCAAAGCCCAGACCTCAATCCAATTGAGAATCTGTGGTATGACTTAAAGATTGCTGTACACCAGCGGAACCCATCCAACTTGAAGGAGCTGGAGCAGTTTTGCCTTGAAGAATGGGAAAAAATCCCAGTGGCTAGTTGTGCCAAGCTTATGGAGACACACCAAGAGACTTGCAGCTGTAATTGCTGCAAAAGTTGGCTCTACAAAGTATTGACTTGGGGGGGTGAATAGTTATGCTCGCTCTAGTTCTGTTTTTTAAATCTTATTTCTTGTTTGTTTCACAATAAAACATGTTTTGCATCTTCAAAGTGGTAGGCATGTTGTGTAAAAAATTATACAAAACTCCAAAAAAATCCCTTTTAATTCCAGGTTGTAAGGCAACAAAATAGGAAAAATGCCAAGGGGGGTGAATACTTTTGCAAGCCACTGTTGTTCAGTAGGGTGGAAAAGGTAGTGAAATGACAAGGTACTACCTGAAATTGTCCAGTAAGAATTATTTTGAATTTCATGTTTTGCTACAGTGTGCTTTATTGAACATGACCCTGAAGGGGTAAAACTTGGGTAAAACATATGTATTAAAATACCCTCAGATAAAAGGTGACATTCTGTACTGTCGCCTCATGTGAAACATTTGATCTCAAATCCATTATGCTGGAGTATAGAGACAAATTAAAAGATGTAGCTTTACTTTCCAAATAAATACGTAGAGGAGTGTATATTGATGAAATGTGTTGGTGGTATTTTTTGTGTCTAACAGTATTACTTATATTTTTTCAGAACTGTGTACACACTTTGCAATGTACCCCATCAACATCCTCTTATACAAAATGTATCTTCCTATTGTGCCCCGATGAAGGCATTTAGCCAAAAAAAGTGTTTTGGATAATCGACTTTTCCTTTAGGAGAGGCTGAATGCTTTATATCGTTGTGGAACTTATTAGATGTTTCAAAAGGGTGGTGGGTGAAGGAGGGTGATCATCAATTATCAATGACCTCCAGGGCTCCCGAGTGGCGCAGCGGTCTAAGGCACTGCATCTCAGTGCTAGAGGCATCACTACAGACCCTGGTTCGATTCCAGGCTGAATCACAATCCGGCCATGGTTGGGAGTCCCATAGGGCAGCCCACAATTGACCCAGCGTTGGCCAGTGTAGGCTGTCATTGTAAATAAGAACTTGTTCTTAACTGACTTGCCTAGTTAAATAAAGATACAATAAAAAGATTGCTCATGAATAAACCAAGGAGACCTGTTGTCCAACTTACCACGTTATGCGCTTCGTCGAAAATGACCACTGCCCCTTTCAACTCAATGTTGTGCGCCCTGCGACTCTGTCAAGCAATGAGGAACAAATGTCTAATTAATTGTGATAAGAGCAACATTTTATTGTGAAAATCTCCTTTACAATATTTATAAAGCCAATACGTATTCTATTTGTATCTATGTTGTGACTAAAACATGCTGATATAGCAGTCTAAAATAAGCCTGACAGGGGTTTAATGGCTAGCACATGAAAAACTATTGTGCTGTAAGTAAGATGGACCAAGTACGTAAAAGCAGGACTTACAGACCCTTTCAAGGCTGGCATGACACAGCAGTTTCTCCAAAGCCTACATTTGTAGTACTATTAAGCAACTGGGTGAAACTAAAATCTAAAATATTGCATCATAACTTTGCAGAGAGAGAAAAGAGCCACACATCTCTTTAGTGTGATTCAACAATAATACATCATAATGAGCAGTTAAATTTGATTCAACAAAGCCATGAGGGACCAGTCAACTGATTAGTCAACAAGTCTTACTTGGTAGCATTGGATATACTGTATGCTCTGTGAATTCTCGTTTGATTCACTAAATGACTTGCTAGTACTATAAAGCTCAAGAACGGTCAAGACCATTTTTGGGGAGAAATTATTGTGCATCCTCACGCATCAGGGTCGTATTCACTTGGCACCAAACAGACTTGAGGGAGAGAATACCTTAACTTATCCAATAAGAAACCTTTGTTTTTGTGCTTGGTGCAAAACATTTTGCTACGGTGTGCACTAATAAATATGTGGCCTCCGCATTCTCAGAATCACAGAGGAAACCTTGGCTCACCTTTGGGTCCAGGAGGTAGTTGTAAGGCATGAATATGATTTCTGCCTGCTGTTTCAAGGAGCGTGAGAGGTAGTATGGGCAGACCCTAGGGAAACAAGGCAACTGTGAGACAAAGAAACAAAAGGGATGCTCCAGTAAACCAATACATTTCCACAAAAGGGATATTAAAAGACCTCTCCAGAAATAAGTAAATGGTTGCGTGATGAAAGAGTACGGCGGAGAGAAAAAACAGATGAGTTCAGTGTGGTTTGGATAGAAGGTGATAGGCACAGTCAATCTTCATTAATAAGTATGAAAAGAATTGACGATCTTGTAAAACACAATAGTCTCAAACTAAACCTCCCCGGCAACAACTGTAGTTGAGTGAATAATTACATCTCCCATATGGCTACATCCAAAAGGTTGCCTCTAGTCCTTACACCCCCTGCCTATCTGAATTGCAAGACAAATTAATTTTAAAACATTATGCATCCTCCTGTTTCCCAGGTTTCTATTAGTTGCCAGTGTGGGTGGCATTTCAGAGGGAATCCAGTGGGCTGCCATACTGTAACTGATGGCTCCAGCTATAACTCAAAGCCTTCATATCTGGCAACCGGCATCCCCTGAAACAGCATTTGCAGCTCCAATGCTCCAGAGACATTAATATTCCAATATGCCCTCCACAAACAAGACTAATGGTATCTGTTTGTAGCGAAGCTGGTAAAGCTAGGGGTTTGGAAGAAGGGGTGGAATGGGAGATTTCAGACCTTTGCTTGTTGCCAGCTTTCACCAGATCTTCAACATCCAGAATGGAGTTCACCAGGTCTTTATCCATGCTCTTCTCTGGAGATGGAAGAAAATCAAAGATTATATTTCACATTTAATTGCAGGCATTTTAAATAATTAAACTATTGGTCAATGACAATTACTATCTTGGGGAAGAAAAAATAAAGTATGAGGCAGCTGAACACAATGGCTTATGAACTTTGTTTTGACTAGATTTTGTCAATGTCCTCAATCATAGAGGATAATAAAAGCCACTGCTTAAAGACAGTTTCAGGCATAAAGATACAGATATTACTAGTGTAATATATTATATTAGTGTTCTATTTAATTCTGTGGTATGAGCCATCCTCGCTCAATCTCTTTACACACATACCTTCAACATTGTTGTAGAAGACGCACGACCTGGTGGATATCTTTTGCCTACACATGTGAACCTGGGAAGAGAATACCATGTCAATCAGATTCAGGATACATCAACTGAGGCTGTGAAATCACAAAAATAATGTCTAACATGTATATTTATGGTGCTTAGAGATGGGATAAAAATAAGTTGTAAAGGACAGAATGTCTTATTTATACCATAAAGATTTAAAACTGTAAATCATGTATTGTAGAAGCAAAACATATGGATTCAGGAAAGTGATTAGAACAGGGTATAGACTGATTTGGTAAAGACAGAACACAAACTCATTTGATGCCTCTCACACATTCTGACTTGACATCTACCAATTGCACGTTGACAGAAGCTTACTGCACCTCTACTGTCCATCCTAATACGGTTGATTCATCACAAGCTGTGCTCACCTCTCATACTTTATTAAATCCCTTCTGTACCTTAAGGTGGTTGCTCTCCTGACGCATCACCTCCGGGTTAATACAAAGCTGCTCCCTGGATCCTAACACGCACACCTTGGGCCTGAAAGTCAGAAAACAACAACACCACCATTTTAACACTGACGATAATTACAATGTACACATGGGTGTGAGTCTTGTATGATTAATAAGAATGAGCTTACCTGTAGGAAGTGTTCTTTAACTCATTAATGACCTGGGTCAGCTGAGAATGTGTCCTGGATGCATAGATGATCTTTGGAATATCAGTATAATAAGCTACAAGGGAAAAAAGGGACAACAATATCATAAAAAGTATTCAAAAAGTATTAACATACAGGTGTAAATATAAAAGCATGGTGATCTACTAAAAAACCCAAAATGTATTATGTATAAAACGTGTTTTAAGAAAAACAACATCAGATCAATACTGATACAAACTATGTGAACTGGACTGCATATTTTGCAATCAGCAACTTCGTGATGGCAGTTATATGATAGATTAGCCAATTTTCATTCCAGAACAGATGCCAGGTGTGTGGTGCCCATACTTGTTGTGTCTCCATCTGTTGCAGCAGTCCCCCACGATGCCAATGGTGTGTTGGGGAAAAGCTCTGCTCCTCCCATCTTCTCTGCTATCTTCCTGGCAGAGATGGTGTCTTTGAAGTAGTCCCTCCAGGCAAGGGTGGCACACAGCAGGCATAGGGTTTTACCCGTGCCTGTCGGACTCTCCAGAACACCATTTACCTTCTGAAATAGATTTATTAAAATGTGTTCAATCAAAAAGTTTCAATAGCGTTCCCCTTGCACTGCTGAGAATCTGTGTTGGTTTGTAGCCACTGTCCATACATGGGGATTAAGAATTTATATTTCCACTGTCGCTAGGTTGTTTGCGTTAGACCCAAAAAATATATAATCGTATTATTATTTATTTTGTATTAATTGATGTTGATAGCTAGCTAATGTATTTGTCTGAGCATGTTGACTCCAAAATGATGATGTATTTTTACAAGTACTGACCCCATCTTAAACCCACCTCCTCATCTGTCAATCTGACCCGACAGCCAATGACATTTCACAAAAAAGAAACTTCCTAGACAGCATGCTAACTTTGATAGCAAGATAGTCATGTTTGAAGGCCCATAAAGCACACTTACGTTTTGTAGACACTCAATCACCTTGCTCATATAATCCTTCTGACATTCGTATGGGGTGAAAGGGAAATCCACAGTTATCCCTTTCAAAGTCAGTGGAGGCATCGTTTTTCAGCAGGCTCACGCAGTTTGCTAGCTGGCTACGTTAGCAGATTAGCCAACTACAACAGTTGGCTGGCTCTCTAGCTAAAGCAACCTAACACGTACTGGCTGTCAAGAACTGGTCAACACTTGAAACATAACTAAACATGTATGGAGCTCCTTGGCTGATGTATCTCTCCGAATTCAATTCATGGGAATGAAAGACAGTTAGTGCGGTTCTACTTTCATGCTTGGCGCGAGCTCTCTGCTTTCACACATGCGCAAAGATTCCAAGCAAAGGCATGGCTCTTTGCTGCCTCTTGATAGGCTCCTCTATTTTGCGATCATCTACTAACTCGATGGACATTAGATTATTATGTACCCAAACTGTTGATGTGTTTGCTTGAAGTCAAATTGTATACAGGCCAATGCTTATAGTCTTTATTCACATCAGAATGTCTGTGACATTGTCCGGCAGTGTCATTAATATGAAATCAAAGGCATTGTGCGCGCACATACAGAAGTGTAGACTACACAACCACACACAGAGACAGACAGACATACTAGGAGGTATGCTCTCTCTTGTAAATTAGCAGAGCACCCAGAAATGATAAAAAGCCCCTTACAAATCGGGTGGTTCGAACCCTTAATGCTGATTATCTGAAAGCCGTGCAGTGGCGATTTTAGCATGTAAATGTTGGTGGGGCAAAAAAGCAAAAACATGGGGATACATGCCAGCAAAACCACTACACAACACTAAACAATACATTAATTGCACTATAACGGTGGCAAACGGTGCCCACAAACTGTTAGGGCTTACATAAAGCTGTCCTAATAGCAGAGTACCAACAGCAGTCCCAACACCTTACCACTGCTACACCTGGCTATCAGCGGAGCCTTGTCTGGCAGCTAAACAGTTCATTCAGCCTCATTTACTGCCTTTAAAAAATAGATAGCTGATATGGCTGACTTGCTTAAACAAATGTGGTTTCTACTGACAATTGAGATGTACAAACTATGGCATAAGGTGACATCAAGGTCATTTAAGAGGGAATCCGTAATTTTGATTAAGACATTAATGAGCGAGCTAGGACGGGCGTAGTGTAGTGTATTAAGATTATGACTTTGTTAATGTTTTTCAGTGGAACCTGAGAGGATGTTTATTTAGTGTCAGAGGGAATTGTTTTAGTGTGACACCCCGGATGGGACAGAGAAGTCTGTGTGTTGTAGACAGGGGATTGGACAGTAGAGGGAGCCACCCATATTTTGGGGAAGATTATATATACTGGGTTTAAACGAAGAAGAGGTTAGAGCAGACATTACAATTTGGGAACCACTGCTCTCCGGGTGATCTGGACACCTGTACACTTATGCTGAAATCTTGTGATATGAATAAAACTTATGATCAAGGTTCAGTATGAGCGGACTCCTTTGTTAGCAGCAATGACTAGCAACATTTACTCGACACTACAGTAGTCAAAATAACTATTTGTTCAGCACTTTTGAAAAGTACAGCGACAGAATTCAGAACATGGGCCGTTCTTACAGTGTTCTCCCTGTACACCAAGCCAGAACCGTAGGATAAATAAAGGGGGCATATAAGCAGACAATGTAAGCTCTTACAATATTCGATGATTACATTTCTCTAATGCAAGCTATAGGCTACATGTGCACCACCAAGTCAGAACAGTAGGCGAAATTAAGAGCGGAAAATATACCAAATTATTAGGGTGAGGCACATGGACTACCAACAGCTTACAACACTACATACACTTAGTATTACTTTCTTAGCTACAGTTTACATATCTCCCTGGCATATTACATCATTTATGCAGCAGCATACAAGACATTTTTGGACTCACCTTGTTGTGCTGTGCTCACTTGAACAGGAAGGTGGCGCGGCGGTCCTTCTTGGGCAAATTTTGTCATCAAACTTTGTCATCAAAGTCTGGCATTCTCTGGATATATGGTGCTTTCAAGACAACTGGGAACTCGGGGGAAAAAACAAGGTCGAATTATGATGATGTCAGTGATCTTCAGGTCATAGCTCTAGAAAGAGGCCCGAGTTCCCGACTTACAATTCAGAGTTGGATGACGGTTTAAAACGTATTTTCCCAGTTGGAGCTCGTTTTTTCCTGAGTTCCCAGTTGTCTTGAACTCACTGAAGTCAGATTTTCCAGTTCTGAGTTAACAGTTGTTTTGAGCACGGCAGAAATAATTTTAAGCTTGGAAAAGAGACCCTTCAACCGAGATTTGGGACCACACACCCACTCCACTGAATAGCAGGCTAGTGATTGCTTTGCAATGCTTGCAGATAGCCACTGATTCCTTCCAAACCACTCATTGTTGAATTTGCGATTTCCAACTTGTTGTGTAATGTTTATGTCCAATGGCCGATGAGCACCGATGTCACGCCCTGGCTCTGGGGACACTGTTATGTTGAGCCAGGGTGTGTAGATCTATGTATTTCATTTCTATGTTGGCCAGTGTGGTTCTCAATCAGAGGCAACGAGTGTCAGCTGTGGCTGGTTGTCTCTGATTGGGAACCACATTTAAACAGGCTGTTTGCCCACAGTGGTTGTGGGATCTTGTTCGTGTTGGTGTGTGTTTGACCATTGACTGTCACGTTATCGTTTTGTTGTTTTTGATTGTGTATCATAAATAAAGGGTATGTTCGTCTGCAACGCTGCGCCTTGGTCCTCATCTGTATACGACGATCGTGACAGAAGATCCCACCAAGACTGGACCAAGCAGCAAGTCCAGGAGCCATCGCCTGAGAGATCTCTAGCGGATCTCCTTCGCCTCCTCGACTGGGTCAAGCCATGTGAGGAGGAGAGGGGCTTGACGTGGAAGCAGAAGGGCGAAAGGCTGGCAAAAAGTATGGAGACCTGGTCCACGGGTAGGAGTGAAGCCCAAAAAATTTTAGGGGGGTGCTAACGCCGTGGACGACGGGGCAGCAGGAGACCGCGACAGAGCACCCCAGCGGGTTGGCAGAGGAGGCCGCCAGGTTACGGGGGCCACTGGTCAAAGAGGGGAAGGAAGGTGTAGAGGCACGGCGAGAGGTACTGGGGTGTGTTACCAGTCCGGTCCGGCCCGTTCCAGATCCCGGTGTAGGGCCAGTGGTGTGTGTCCCCAGTACGGTCCGGCCTGTTCCTGCCACTCGCACCAAGCCTACGGTGCGCGTCGCCAGCCCAGCCCGGCCTGTTCCTGCCACTCGCACCAAGCCTACGGTGCGCGTCGCCAGCTCGGCCCGGCCTGTTCCTGCTCCCCGCACCAAGCCTATGGTGCGCTTCGCCAGCCCGGCCCGGCCTGTTCCTGCTCCCCGCACCAAGCCTATGGTGCGCTTCGCCAGCCCGGTCCGGCCTGTTCCTGCCATTCGCACCAAGCCAGGGGTGCAAGTCGTCAGCCCGGTTCAGCCCGTTCCTGCTCCACGCACCAAGCCAGGGGTGCGTATCGTCAGCCCGGTCCGGCCCGTTGCTGCTCCACGCACTAAGCCAGGGGTGCGCATCGTCAGCCCGGTCCGGCCCGCTCCTGCTTCCCGCACCAAGCCAATGGTGCGCGTCGCCAGCCCGGTTCGGCCCGCTCCTGCTCCTCACACCAAGCCAGTGGTGTGTGTCATCAGTCCGGCACGGCCCGTGCCTGTTCCACTGGTGCCTGGTCCGGCACCGGTCAGACGCGTTACGCGGGGCCAGACCGGACCAGGGGTACTTTGGGGGGTTGGAGAGGGAGTGAGGATCAGGCCCGGAGCCGGATCCGCCGCCAAGGCGGAGTGCCCACCCGGTCCCTCCCCTGTGGAATTTAGTTGGCGCGGTCGGAGTCCGCGCCTTTAGGGGGGGGTACTGTCACGCCCTGGCTCTGGGGACACTGTTATGTTGAGCCAGGGTGTGTAGATCTATGTATTTCATTTCTATGTTGGCCAGTGTGGTTCTCAATCAGAGGCAACGAGTGTCAGCTGTGGCTGGTTGTCTCTGATTGGGAACCACATTTAAACAGGCTGTTTGCCCACAGTGGTTGTGGGATCTTGTTCGTGTTGGTGTGTGTTTGACCATTGACTGTCACGTTATCGTTTTGTTGTTTTTGATCGTGTATCATAAATAAAGAGTATGTTCGTCTGCAACGCTGCGCCTTGGTCCTCATCTGTATACGACGATCGTGACAACCGATACGTTTTATCTATAATTTATCTTCATTATTTCTCTTCATATGACAAGGATTAAAAATGATTTGCTAGTAGATTGTCGACTTGATTCATGATGATGACTGCTAGCTAAGATTTTGAAAGTATGATGTTGACATGATCAGTCCAATCAAAGCTACTGTAGATATAACGTGATTTGACGTCATTTTATCTGTGGCCAATGACCTTGAGCCTTCTTGGATGGGCACTTCTAATGTAACTCTATGTCAGCACCCAAGGGGCTTGAATTTTCGAGCTCTACCCTTAGATTTGGCAGTGACTTACTGTCCCCATAAGTTACAGAACACTGAGCCAATCACGGCGCAACTAGAGAACATTACCAACTCCTACCCTCCGTATTTTCCGCTGGCTGCCCCACCACCACAGAAAGCACTGAGCTAGGCTGAAACACCAGAATTTTGAAGCTGCCTTAATCAAGAAAGCAAAAAAGAGACCATGTTTGTATGGGGGCTTTATTAACTCAAGGAATGTTTTTATTTTATTTATTTTTTACATTGTTTGCAAGCTGATATATGACATGTATTAATGCCCAAATAAAATGCAAAACAAGCAACACCCCCCCCCCAAAAAAAACACTTTGCCCCACCTGCCCTGAATGACGGGTCGCCACTAAAGCTGTGTTATACCACGGGTATGACAAAACAATACTTTTATTGTTCTAATTACGTTGGTAACCAGTTTATAATAGCAATAAGGCACCTCCGGGGTTTGTGGTATATGGCCAATATACCACGGCTAATGGCTGCATCCAGACATTATGTGTTGCGTCATGCATAAGCCGTGGTATATTGGCCATCTACCACTAGTCCTTTTTGCTTAATTAGACATAATGTATTCGTTGTAAAAGTCGATCTAAAAAAGCCAGCCAGAAGTAGGTAATTAGAAAAAGAATATGCTTATTTAATGAAAACAAGACACTTGGATGTTCACCTCAATACAAGATAAGGCATGGGGTTCATATACAGTTGAAGTCGGAAGTTTACATACACTCAGGTTGGAGTCATTAAAACTCCACAAATTCCTTGTTAACAAACTATAGTTTTGGCAAGTCGGTTAGGACATCTACTTTGTGCATGA